TAGGAGTGGGGAGGCAAGAATTTGTATGTACAGGTAAGTGTTTGCTTGTACATGAATAGACTACTGTCTATTCCTGTTGCTGTTCTAACAAATTACCACAATTTAGTGTCTTAAAAACTGCAGAAGGGGGCTTCCCTGGTGGCGTAGTGGTTAAGAATCCGCCTGCCAATGCAGGGGACACGGGTTCGAGCCCTGGTCCAGGAAGATCCCACATGCTGCGGAACAACTAAGCCCATGCATCACAACTACTGAGCCTGCACTCTAGAGCCCGCGAGCCACAACTACTGAGTCCGCGTGCCACAACTATCGAAGCCCACGTACCTAGAGCCCATGCTTCACAACAAAAGAAGCCACTGCAATGAGAAACCCGCGCACCACAATGAAGAGTAGTCCCTGCTCACTGCAACTACAGAAAGCGCGTGCGCAGCAATGAAGACCCAAAGCAGCCAAAAAAAAAAACCCAGCAGAAATGTATTCTCTTCGAGTTTGGAGGCCAGATGTCCAAAATGAACTGAAACCAAGGTGTCTGCAGGGGCTCGTGCTTCCTGTAAATTCTGGGGGCCCTAGAAGGGAGTTTCCTTGCCTTTTCCAGCTTCTGGAGCTGCATTCCCTGCATCCTTTGCTCATGGCCTTTCTCCACTTTCAAAACCATCCACATAGCATCTTCAAGTCTCTGGAGAGATGCTTCAGTGGCCAAGTAGCCTCCTGTGACCAAATCTCCCTCTGCCTCGGTCTTACAAAGACACTTGTGATCGCATCTAGGGCCCACCCGGATATTCCAGGCTAATCTCATTTCAAAATCAACCTTGCTGAACATCACATAGTTAACAAGTGAATACGTTGGATTTAGGCCCAGACAGACACTACACTATACTATTAAATTAAAATTTTTTTTTTTTTGCCAAGTGCTAGTTGAGACCAAATTGATTTCACAACTCACTGATGGGCTACAACTTATTGAATAAACAGCCAAGAGACTGTAGATTCCACAAGAGTGGAATCCTCTATTGTGCTCCTCACTGCATTCTTGGAGCCTTCACTTTGATAGACACAAAGTAGGTTCTCTCTCAACAAACAGTTGATGAAAGAGCTTCTCACATAATAATACAATCTGAAAGCTGGAGGAAACTGAGAAATTACCCAGTCCAGAGGATTGCAAATGGTATCAACTAGCACTCTTACTTAGGTGTTCCACATGTCGTTTACCCTGTGGACAAAGAATGTCATCTGCCATATCAGTAAAGAAAGGATGTTGTGGCCATCAAGCCATCACCCACTGTACACACTGAGGGGATTCAGGATGGAGAATAATAGGATCCTGGCACTAGAGAGTTAAGTGTACATCAAAGTGGTGATTTCAATAAGCCCAGACTCTTGCCTCTCCCCATAGCTAGAAAAGCACTAAATTCACTAACTGGAGATGTCTGGTTTTCTTTAATTAACAGTAATCTTTTGATGCTCCGACTACCTGGGTTTTTTGCAAAAACCCCTATATATCCTGGCTCCCCCCTTACATCTTCAGAACAGTCCCTCAGAGCTAATGAGAGGCTGTCTCCTTGGCTTAAGTCCTCGGTACGTCCACCGAACAAAACATAATTCTCAACCTTTAGGTTGTGCTTTTTTTTTTTTTTTTTCAGTTGAGAACCCAGCGGTCAGTAGCAAGAGTGGCAACAGAACACAGGCTTTTTTTTTTTTTTTTTTTTAACATTTCCTCATTCATTTATTCAAAAATATTTGAGAACCTAAAAACCTCAAATTGAAATAATTAGATAAAACAAAAATGCAAGTTGCAGAGGAACTAGACTTCCATATTGTAAATAGTATTGGGTTGGCCAAAAAGTTCCTTTGGTTTTTAAAATAAAAGACATATTTTTCACTTTCACCAAGAACTTTATTGAACAGTGTATTCACTGTTTTGTTCCACTACCTTCTGCCATTTTTCAGGCAACTTCATAATTCCATCTTCCCAAAGATTTTTATCTTTTTGAGCAAAGAACTGTTCCAGATGCCTTTTACAGTCTTCCAGGGAATGGAAATTTTTTCCATTAAGAGAATTTTGTAAAGACCGAAATAAATGGAAATCCAAAGGCGCAATGTCTGGTGAATATGGCGGATGAATCAGAACTTCCCAGCCAAGCGGTAACAGTTTTTGCCTGGTCATCAAAGAAACATGTGGCCTTGCGTTATCCTGATGGAAAACTATGCGTTTTCCTTTTTTTTGATAATGGCTTTTTTTTTTGTGGCTGTGTTGGGTCTTCACTGCTGTGCGCAGGCTTTCTCTAGTTGTGGTGAGCGGGGGCCACTCTTCGTTGCGGTGCACGGGCTTCTCATTGTAGTGGCTTCTCTTGTTGTGGAGCACGGGCTCTAGGAACGTGGGCTTCGGTAGTTGTGGCACGCGGGCTCAGTAGTTGTGGCACACGGGCTTAGTTGCTCTGTGGCATGTGGGATCTTCCCGGACCGGGGCTTGAACCCATGTCCCTGGCATTGGCAGGCAGATTCTTAACCACTGTACCACCAGGGAAGTCCACTATGCATTTTCTGTTAACTAATTCCAGACTTTTCGTTAAGTGCTGCTTTCAGTTGGTCTAACTGGTAATAGTACGTGTTGGAATTAATTGTTTGGTTTTCTGGAATGAGCTCATAATAGAGGACTCCCTTCCAATCCCACCGTATACACAATATCATCTTCTTTGGATGGAGACTGGCCTTTGGTGTGGTTGGTGGTGGTTCATTTCACTTGCCCCACGATCTCTTCTGTTCCACACTATTGTACAATAACCACTTTTCATCACCCGTCACAATTTGTCGTAAAAACAGAACATCTTTGTTACATTTCAGTAGAGAATTGCATGCAGAAATACAGAAATACGGTCAAGAAGGTTTTTTTTGCTTAACTTATGTGGAACCCAAACATCAAAGTGATTAACATAACCAAGCTAGTGCAAATGATTTTCAGCGCTTGATTTGGGTATTTTGAGTATGTTGGCTATCTCCCGCGTGGTATAACGCTGATTGTTCTCAGTGAATGTCTCTATTTGATCGCTATCAATTTCAACTGGTCTACCCGACCAAGCAGCACAGTCCAGTGAGAAATCTCCAGCATGAAACTTCGCAAACAACTTTTGACATGTTCAGTCGGTCACAGAACCTTCTCCATACACTACACAAATCTTTTTTGGTATTTCAGTTGCGTTTTTACCTTTTTTGAAATAATAAAGCATAATATGCCAAAAATGTTGCTTTTTTTTTCATCTTCAATATTAAAATGGCTACACAAAAATTCACCAATTTTGATTTTTTTTTTTTTTTTTTTTTTGTGGTACACGGGCCTCTCGCTGCCGCGGCCTCTCCTGTCGCGGAGCACAGGCTCTGGACGCGCAGGCCCAGCAGCCATGGCTCACAGGCCCAGCCTCTCCGTGGCATGTGGGATCTTCCCGGACCGGGGCACGAACCCGCGTCCCCTGCATTGGCAGGCAGACTCCCAACCACTGTGCCACCAGGGAAGCCCAATGTTGTTTTTTTTTTTTAAGTGCACGCTGATATGACAGCTATCACTATGCAATCTAACAAAATTGTTTCAAATGAAGTTAAGGACAACTAAGTGCTACTAGTGCCATCTTACAGAAAAAACCAAAGGAACTCTTTGGCCAACCCAATATTTAGCATATAGTAAATCTGAAGTAATGTACGCCAAATTGTTTATATGTTCTGGTAAAGGTATTGGGGTAAATTTTATGTTTTATATTTCTGTATTATTTGAATTTTTACAAAGAAAATGTATTTCTTTTACAATTATAAAAACGCAGTGAATATTTTTAAAAAACTTTTAACTCTTTCTTTAACCACAGTATCTGACAGCCCTTGACTTATTCATTTCTTTCTTTCTCCCTTCCTTCCTTCCTTCCTTTCTTTTTTTTGCCACGCCTCATGGCATGCGGAATCTTAGTTCCCTGACCAGGGATGTAATCCATGCCCCCTGCCGTCTTAACCACTGGACCACGAGGGAAGTCCCAACTTATTCATTTCTATATACTACTAACTTAGCCCAAGGCCCAGCTCAAAGTCGATACTGAATAAATGTGCACGAGCAAAAGGACTCAATAAGTTGCAATATGAGAAAGGACTCCTTTTATCAGGATGGTAATTTTCAAGGTACATCCCAAAAGTACAGTCTTCATTTCATTAATAAGGTTTCAAATCACGTTGACACTGGTGGGCATGTGATGGCGTTCTTCAGTGTAATTCATGTCCAGCCTGGTCAAGCACCTCAAGTGCACATTTCTGGGTCACCAACACCCATGGCACCCGGCTTCAAACTTGGGGCCCTCAAGCTGCAAAAGGAAAATCAAAAAGGAGTAGGTGTTGCTAAGAGATCTCTCTAAAATGGAGCCAGACGCCACTGAGGAAGTGACTTATGCATGTCTCAGCCCAGATAGAATCTGACCTTTTGACCACCTATCTATCGTCTAACAAAGGTATCCAGCACGATGTTCCAGAAATTCAAGATACTTATCCAGCCCTTACCCTAAATAACTAGTGACAGTCTATCCCTTAAGGACAAATATTTCCTTTTTACATCAAAGTCAATCATAATTCCTGGGGGACAACTTTAACAACCTTGTGGTTTTTGCCTTTATAAGCCTCTGACTCTTTCTCTTTCCCACTCTTCCTATTTTGCTGGCACCTATCCCCAGTTGCAATTCCCAAGATCCCAAATAAAGCTCTTTGCGGCTTCCATGCTGATTACTGTTTGACAAAGCCTCTAGGTTCAGTTACCGCAGTCACCCATTCGAGCCTACGGGTGCCTCACGCATGCGCCCTACTCTGCAGGGCCCCGGAGCTCGCCTCCTATCTCTCCCGCTGTCCCTGCTCCCTTAACCCCCAGTGCGATTTACCTTCCTTACACTCCCAATTCCACAGCGCCAGGAGGCGGAAGTGAGTGGGCGGGGTCACCCGCGCGCTCCGCCCAGGAAGTGGGAGGGACCTCGCGGGCTCTACATTTGTCGCCCGCCGCCTCCCAGTCGGATTGCGGCCGAGGCCGGTCCTGGCTTTGTAACTTGCTCAAGATGGCGGCGCAGCCACCCAGCGGGATCCGCCTCAGCGCGGTGAGCAGCCGCGAGGGGTGGAGCGGGCCGTGTCCCAGGAGGGCGGGCAGGCGGGCAAGCGAGGGGGGGCCGGCAGTGGGCGGTGGCGACTCGTCGGCCCGGCGCGGCGGCTGGGGCCGCGGCGGGGCCGGGGGAGGCGGCGGCGGCCATCTCGCTACCGACGGCGGAGCTGCTTGGCGGCGGGCAGGGCAGGGCAGGGCCGGGCGGCGCGCGCCGGGCTGCGTTTCTGTTTTGCCTCCGCGGCTTCGGGGCGGGTCGGGGCCGCGGCCCCTCCTCCTGGCTCCCTCTTGGCTGCTCCGCAGCTGTCGTCCGAGGGCGAGGCCTCGGCGGCCAGTCGGCCCGCCCCTCGGACCGCGGGGCCTCTGACCCATCCTGGCCTGCGGGCCCGCGGAGTGTCCCGGAGAGGGAGGGAGAGGTGGTCTGCTGCCAGAAATGCCCAGCGGCCTTGACCTCCTGGCGGTGGGACGGGGTGCTGCGAGCTGGGACTAGTCTTCCTGATTCATTTAAATTCCTGCCGCTTCCCTCCAGTTAAGCCCTCGGACCCAAATCGCTACTAGGTCACCACCGAGCTCTCCCGTTTCCCCTCTAGTCTCCGGGTCGTGTCTGTTCCGGAGCGTCTCGGGTTCTTGGGGATCCTTGAGCATGTTTTTTGTATCTGTGAGTCTTTTTCGGAGGGAGCGGTCACACAATATGAATTAAAATTTCACAGCCTAAGGTGTGGGCGTGGCCTCCCTACATGATTCTCCTTAAAAAGTTGGCGTTGTTATACAAAAATGTACCTCTTCTCTGAAGGGTGTTGGTGCTGGCCAAAGAATTGCTGCAGCAATCTCATTATTCGAATGGTAATACCATTGCGTTAAAAATGGTATTTTGCCCATTGACTTGCATTCATTTAGCCAGATTCCTGCCAACATCTGTATCATTAGACTTTAACGTTTTTCCTGATGAGTGTGAAATGGTATCTGTTTACTTTACGTTTACTTGACTGAAGTTGAAAGTTTGTCACATTTCACCCTTTTTGGTTTGGGATTTAAAAAAAAAAAAAAACTTCATCTCCTTTGCCCATTTTTCTATTTTCTTTTTCTTTGAGGGGTATTTTTATAGATTTGTGAGTGTTCTTTACATATTAGGAATAAAGGCTCTTTGGTTACCTAACTGGTTTATTGAATGAGATAGTATTTAGTAGATGGAAGACAGAGAGGAACTTTACTCTTTCTTACCACTGGCTTTAAACATTATTTGCTAATTCACCTGGGTGAATCTGGACAGATTCTGATGCTTTCCAATTAGCCTCAGGTACACTTAAGTCAGACTTTAACTACTTTTGAAGCTCTTATTCATTTTAAAGCCCTGCTGTTTCCCCTCGTATTGGGCCAAATTCTGGCCCAGAAAACTGTGGTGAGAAAAAAGGAGTGAACTGGGTTTTTTTTTTTTTTCTTGCTATTTCTGCACTCTGATTCTTTTCCCCATTCCCCAGCTCCTCCCAAGTTGCTATCTCTGTCTCTTCAAGATTGAGAAGACCGGGAGCAAAGATAAGGGTCAAACAGTCTTGAGAGACTGGCATTGTTGTTAGCTGGCTCTCTGGGTGTAGCAGCTGTCCATGTGCTAAATCTTTCTTTTGTGGGTAATAATGGGCCGTTTGGAACCTCATTGACAGAAATCTCCCATCTGCAGCTTCTGGAGTGTATTTACACTGGTCTTTTGCTTTAGGATAGGAGTTGGCAAACTGCAGTTTATGGGCCAAATCCAGCCTGCCACCTGTTTTTGTATGGCACACGATCCTTAAATGGTTGGGGGGAAAAAGATAAAAGAATAATATTTCGTAACATGAAAATTATGTGAAATAGACATTTCATTTTCCCTAAATGAAGTTTTGTTGGAATAAAGGCTTGCTTATTCCTTTGGTATAGCTCTCAAATGCTAATACCATTTTGTGACTGAGAGCATTGGTTCTGGAGCTCACATGCCTGGGTTCAAATCCTGACTGATAACTGTATATGTGACCTGAAGAGTGGGAATAATAATCTTACCCACTGGAAAGTTAGTTTAAATGAGCCAGTGCCTGTAAAAGTCTTACAAAAGTCCTGTTGACGCCATAAATACTCAGTAAATATTTGCGGCTTTTTTTTTTTTTTTTTTTTACTGTTAGCAGTGAAGCCTATCCATTTTTCCAAAAACAGGTGTAGCTTCTTGAGAACAGAGTACATGGGAAGAAAATTTATGTCTTTTCTTGGAAATATGTTTTTGCTACCCTTGCTCTTTACATATAATTTGGCTGGGTTTGTAATTCTAGATTAGAAATTATTTCTTTTTAGAATTTTAAAGGCATGCTTTATTGTTTAATAGAGTCCTATGTACTGGTACTTAGGCTGGAAACTCAAGTCCTTAATATATGGAAATTTTTCTCATTTATTTGGTGACAGTTTTCCCTTTATTTTTCTGTTTTCTTTTGTCTCCTGTTTTCCTTCCCATTGCTTTTTCTTTCTGGGAGATTTCCTCCGTTTCATCTCCTACCTTTCTCTTACCATATATTTAATTATTATAAACACTGTCTTATTCTCTGAATATCTTTTAAAAATCTTTCTCAACAAAATATTTGTTTTTATCTCTGGGTATATTAATCATAGTATTTTTGAAGTTTTCTTTTGCTCACTGCGTTGCCTCTAGTTTCTTTACATTCTTTTTACTGTATGTTTTTTATTCTAATTTTACACATTCTCAAATGTCTGGAGATGGTCAGCCTTCTACTTATATCTCCAAGTGAGACACTAAAAAAATGAATGTTCATACCCGAGTAGAGCTAGTCCTTTGGTGGGCTTCAGTGTTGGGTGATCAGGTAGAAGGAGCCAGCAGTGTTGTTGGAGCACTCTCTGTCAGTATCTGTTGACCGTAAAGAATGGAAGTGTTAGACCATAAAGTAAGTATGTTTAAAATAACTTTTAAAACTTGTAAAATAATTTTTTTTCAAGTGAGGGATAAAAAAAGCTATCCAGAATGGCCTGGCACAATTGTAAAAGAACCAGATAGAAATTTTAGAAATCATTCCGTTTTCCAGAGAGGAATTCTACATCTAGTCTCCTGCATGGCTTATATAATCCTGGCTGCTAGCTCTTCTGAAGCAGGGAAAAGGAGATAGGAGTATCCCATTGTTCAGTTTGCAAATTTGGTTTTCATTTGTTTACTATTATGGTAAAATACACATAACATAAAATTTACCATCTTAACTATTTCTAAGTGTGCAGCTCAGTACGTTAAGTACATTCACATTGTTGTACAACCAATCTCCAGAACTCTTCATCTTGCAAAACTAAAACTCTGTACCCATTAAAAAATAACCCTCCGTTCCCCCTTCCACCAGCTCCTGGCCGTTTTACCTTCTGTGAATTTGACTACTCTAGGTACATTATGTAAGTGGAATCATACATTATTTGTCTTTTTGTGATTGGCTTGTTCCTCTTAGCATAATGTCCTCAAGGTTCATGCATGTTGTAGCATGTATCAAATTTTCTTTCCTTTTTAAAGCTGAATAATATTTCACTCTATGAATATACTACATTTTGTTCATTCATCGATGGACATTTGTGTTGCTTCCACTTTTGGTTATTATGAATAATGCTACTGTGAACATGGGTGTGCAGATGTCTCTTGAAGACCCTGCTTTCACTACTGTATACAAAATAGATAAATTTTATACAAAATAAAAAACAGTAAGGACCTACTGTATAGCACAGGGAACTATATTCAATATCTTGTAATAACCTATACTGGAAAAGAGTCTGGAAAAAGTATGTGTGTATACATACCTATATATATATCTATGTATGTATACACACACATGCACACACATATCTTTGTGTGTGTATATATGTATGTATGTATAATGGAATCACTTGGGTGTACACCTGAAACTATCACAGCATTGTAAATCAACTATACTTCAATTAAGGAGGAAAAAAAAGGACCCTGCTTTCAGTTCTTTTCAGTATATACCCAGAATTAGAATTGCTGGATCCTATGGCAAATGTCTATTTAATTTCTTGAGCCCCCTCTGTATTTTCTACAGTGGCTGCACCATCTTATATTCCCTCGAAGGGTGCGCATGAGTTCCAGTTCCTCCATGGCCTCCCCAACACTTACTTTCTGCTTTTGTTGTTGTATTTTTTGTTTGGATTTTTAACAATACCCAACCCTTTGAGTGTGAGGCGGTATCTCGTTGTAGTTTTGATTTTCATTTCCCTAATGATTAGAGATGTTGAGCATCTTTGGAGAAATATCTGAGTCCTTTGCCCATTGTTTAATCTGTTTGTAGTCTTCTTGTTGTTGAGTTGTAGGAGTTCTTTGTAAATTCTACATATTAACCCTTCATCAGATACTTGATTTGCAGATTTTCCCCCCCATCCTGTAGGTTGCCTTTTCACTCTGTAGATTGTGTCCTTGGATGCAGTGGTCCATGGCCTGCTAGGAGCCAGGCCACACAGCTGGAGGTGAGAGGCTGGCGAGCGAGTAAAGCTTCATCTGCTTCATCTGCGGCTCCCCATCGCTTGCATTACCGCCTGAACCATTTCTCCATCCCCACCCCCCGCTTCCCAGTCTGTGGAAAAATTGTCTTCCAGGAAACCAGTCCCTGGTGCCAAAAAGGTTGGGGACTGCTGCTTTGATGTACAGAAGTTTTAAATTTTGGTGATTTCAGAAGTCATTGCCGAGTCCAATGTCGTAAAAGGTTTCCTCTATGTTTTCTTCTAAGAGTTTTATGGTTTCAGCTCTTTGATCCATTTTGAGTTAGTTTTTGTTTATGGTATAGGGTAAGGCCACAACTTCATTCTTTTTATGGATATCCAGTTTTCCCAGCACTATTTGTTGAAAAAACTGTCCTTTCCTCATTAAATGGTCTTTATACCCTTGTGGAAAATCATTTGACCATATATGAGAGGGTTTATTTCTGGTCTATTTGCTGACCTGCTTTTAACCCACCTGCTTTTGATTGTCTGTGAGCCTGCCGCTGTCAGTTTCTCCAGAGAACAGACCTCCAGCCTTACGTGGTTTGCTGAGGGTAGTTGAAGGGGGCTGCTCAGGTTAAAAGAAGGATCTGGGGAATCTTTCTTCTTTTAAAGACTTTCAACCTATCTTGTTTTCATACAACTTCTAGTATCTTTTACTTCAAAGGTACAAAGTCTAATTTCTAAGACTTTCTGGGGTTGCCAAGGTTCCTGACCTGCTTCTGGTTGGTTTTCTCATCTCCTACAGGCTTCGGATTTAGCTTTTTCCAGGCTATTAAATCAGTTGTCACTAGTCTGTGCTTTCCAGTTTCCAAACTACTGACTATTTTGTCTGCTATTAGTAATCACTTCTTTGATTCTTTTTGTTCTTCTGGGTTTCTGCCCCTTTTTTTCCTTCATTATAGAGCGGCTTCGGGAGGCAGCAGAGGTAAACACTGTCCATGTGTTCAGGCTTCCATCTTATATTTAAATGATTTTTTAAATTTGTGACTATTTGTTGACTCTAAAAGTTCTATTGATTCTTTTTTTTAATATATATTTTTTATTTATTTATTTTTGGCTGCGTTGGGTCTTTGTTGCTGCGTGCGGGCTTTCTCTAGTTGTGGTGAGCAGGGACCACTCTTCGTTGCTGTGCATGGGCTTCTCATTGTGGTGACTTCTCTTGTTGCAGAGTATGGGCTCTAGGCATGTGGGCTTCAGTAGTTGTGGCATGCGGGCTCAGTAGTTGTGGCACACAGGCTCTAGAGCGCAGGCTCAGTAGTTGTGGCGCACGGGCTTAGTTGCTCCGCGGCATGTGGGATCTTCCTGGACCAGGGCTTGAACCTGTGTCCCCTGCATTGGCAGGCGGATTCTTAACCACTGCGCCACCAGGAAAGTCCCTCTATTGATTCTTTAAAATATGTGTGGTCTTCGTTGTATCTCATTTTTGTGTGTTTTTTGGAGGGGAGTATTACTTTTTTTTTTTGCGGGCCTCTCACTGTTGTGGCCTCTCCCGTTGTGGAGCACAGGCCCGGCGGCCATGGCTCATGGGCCCAGCCGCTCTTCGGCATGTGGGATCTTCCCGGACCGAGGCACAAACCCGTGTCCCCTGCATCGGCAGGTGGACTCTCAACCACTGCGCCACCAGGGAAGCCCGAGGATTACTTTTTAAATGTCTAGTTATTTCAAGAGATTCCTGTTTTATAGGCTGTTATTTCTTTTACCTAGTGTTGGGGGGCGATGCCTAATACTACTGTATCTTGTCTGCTAATATTTTCTCCTGGTGGATTGTTTCCTTAAATGTTATTTTAGATTGTGTACTCAAATATTCCCCAAATAATGTCTCTGGGAGAATCCTATGCAGTCTGGTTGAGGCTGTGTATCCACAGTGGTTCTGCAGGTTATATAAATTGAAATGCTTAACCCAAGTGAAGGCATGCCTCTTTACAGAATTTCATGTTACACTTTTTTTGTTTGATTTTAACCTAGAGTCCAGAGCAAAACAGAAAGCTTCCCATTGGGCATATTCCCCCCACCCTCTTTTTTACTGAGGAAGTAAGAGGGGGCAGTAACTTCAAGTGCGTGCTTCTCTTCTGCCATGTCTCCTATCCCTGAGTCACCATTAAAATTGAAACCTTTGTATTCCATTTAAGCACCCCACTCTAATCCACATTTTCAAATTTTATTTTAGTTTTTAATTCCTTCTTTACTTGAGGCCTTTGAGGATTTTCTTTATTTATATATGAGCTCATTTGTGCCTTTAAGGGTATACTTACCTTTTTAAAAAAACATACACTTATAATGCTTATTATGTCCCAGGTGTTCTTCTAAGCATTTATAAATATTAAGTTTTTTAATTCTCTTAATGTCTTGGTAACCTGATATTATTATCATCCTTATTTTCACAGATGATAAAACTTGAGGCACAGAGGGTTAAGTTGCTTACCCAGAATCACACATCTAGTTAAAGATACTCCACAGTCCATGTCGTGTGTGTGTGTGTGTGTGTGTGTGTTGGCTGTTGAAGGGTGTTTTTCTTTCCAGCTGATGACATGTTCGAGAGATGAGAATTAAGAGTAGTTGAAAATAATGCTTTTGTTTAAATACCCAAAAAGCCACTGTTTAGCATTCATCTTTTCTTACTGATGCCTTCTTTGCTTTGTTCCCCCGGGACTCTTACTCAAGAACAATGTGTGCCATGTCAGTTTGGAGTTGGTATATAGGATGAAGTTATTAAATGTAAGTTGACAGTCTGCCCACAGTCTGCCGTACATCTAAAATCAAAGTATTACAACATGGACCAAAATACCCAATTTCTAACTCCAGACTTCAAACCTAACAAATTCATAAAATTGAGAGCAAAGACAGAAACTATTCTAAGGGTTTCTGGTGTTGATTTAATCGTTTTCTGCTTTGGTAGCCAGAGGCTTTACACCCCAAAGCCATGCCCCATAGTAAGATTTAGAATGGGTGAGGAGTACACTATGTATTCTTTTTTTTTTTTTTTTTTTTTTTTTTTATTTATTTATTTTTTTTTATGTATTCTTTTATAAATGGAGGACTGATGATTGTGCAAGGGGAGGGCCTGGGACAGGACTCAGGTATACTAATTTGACAAAAGGTTTCTTGTAGAAGATGAAGGCCTGGAAATTGATTTTCTTTATAAAAACCCTTGTTTTAGAAAGTTGGGGAATTCCTTATACACCATTATTACGTGGATGTATGCTATAGAAAATATGCCATAGAAGGTCTGAATTACATATGCTCCAGTTCGAAGACCACTCTTCTACAGAATACTATTTTTCACATGTGTACTTTAACCTGATAGTAAACAAATGCTTAGGGATTGTCTAAAATCGAGGGTGGACAGAGGAAAAGTAGACCTCTTTCTGACACCTTGTGGCAGCAGCTGAACACTGTAAATGCAGCTGGTTGGATTTATAATCTAATCATATTTCTAGGGCTCTTCACATGAAACACTTTAAGTGCCTCTTTTTTCCCTCTTAAATATGAGATAATCTGTTCAAAATGAACACAAAAAAGTCCTCATTTCATGGAAATACTCTGCATATTGAAATTTCCAAGCCTCAGCCTTTTTAAACCATTTGTACATTTTTAGGCATGTGATATCTGCACTACTCAGGAATTTAGAGAGTTCCCTATAGCATGAGGTTGATTAACATACTCTTCCATACTGTATTACCATGAATCAGACATAAAATCTCTGGAGGTCAAGAAGGTTTGTTGCATTTGAACTGTTATTTGACATTGTTTGAAGGCTTTATAGATGTATACTGTTCCAGGGCTGCAAGTTCAGCTGTTGATATAATGAACTTGGAGAGACCATGAGAAAAGCCTGTTGCTTAATAAACAAAGCTAAGTTTCTTAAGCGTAATGCACTGAAGGAGAAAACACCCCTTTGACAAAGTCTTAGTTTTATCTCATGGTAATTTTGAGGTAGGTCTTGTAGGGTGGATAGCTTTGGGATTGGGCACTTAATGATATGGCTCTGGATTGGTGGACACAGGAGGCAAGGGTTTTGCAGCACAGCTTGATGAGAAACTGTTTAGTTGATTTACAGCCATATCTTCCAGGAATCTCATTTTCCGGGTTATGTCTTCCAGGTATATCCTGACACAAGCAGCTAAGTCATTCTTGCTTGGTCTCTCTTAATACTGGGACAGAAAATTATTTTGGCGTCTGTTCTCAAAAGTAAGACCTTAATTAATTTACGTGAATCATTGGTTTATTTCAGCTTTGCCCGAAGTTTTTACATACAAATTCTACTAGTCACACTTGGCCATTTAGTGCGGTTGCTGAATTAATAGGTAAGTAAATTCGTGTTTCGTATATAATCTGTTGCTTGCAGTTGAAGTTCTAAAAAGCTTTTTATTGAAAAATAGTATGCAGATGTGCTTTTAAAAAAAACCAAAGTGTATCTCAGCGATAACATTGGTAAAGGTTACCTAGCATAACAACTATTCAAACTGATGTCAAGTTAATCAGTGCTCAGCCTTCCCTACTCAGAATATTTCCCTATATTACTATCAAAGTATTTTAATTTGCAAAGTCCTAAAGCATTTATGTTGCAAATATTTTTAGTCCATTATAAAAGAAATACGTCTATTGCCAAAAAGTGAGAATTATGTTTTTTTTTAATAGTCTGAAAATATAACAGTGGATTAATTTTTCTGGTGTTAGTAACTAGGAGGATTATATTATGTTAGATTTGTGATAATAAATTCTTGGTTTTTCCAGTAGATAGAATGATCAAGGTATAAGATTATATTTAAAAGTGTTTTAATGAACATGAGGAAAGAGGCAAGGTTGTGTTCAGATTTGCATTATGGGTCATGATTTTTTTCTTGGTAAAATTAGTGCACATGAATTCTTGGGAATTCTTTAGATTCATTATCAAGGAAGGGTCCTATGTTGGATGTGCAAGGAAAAGAAAAGAAAGAAAATTTGAGAACCCTTCTTTTCTTTGGTGAAGTTAGATTTTCCAGAGTCTCTCAGCTAACATGTGCTGTTCAGATGTAGACTCTGAAGTGCAAATGAGATAACGTTGCAGCTATTCACGGTCATTCTTTTTCATGGCAACGGGAGGAGCTACTTAGCCTGGGGTTGTTCATCATAGTGCTTCTCTAGCTTTGGGTTTGGGCAACTGAAAGTCATGGTGCTCTTTGTGGTGTATCGGATTTTTAAGTTTTTTTATGAAGCTAAGGTGGTTGATGAAAAAGATTATTTGATTTTAATTGAGGACTTACAGAAGGATAGTTTGAGAACCATTATTTATATTATAATGAAGACTTGAAAATATACCTCAAAAGTATTTTTAGTCAGGGATATTCTGATAGATCTTAGATAGTTCACAAGTTGATTTTATTACTGCTACTGTTGAAAATTTTTTCGTTTTTCTTTGATATATTCCTCATACTTACCTGTTCTGAGAGAAACAAGTATGCTAGGCAAGGGTATTAAACGGTGAGGTGTACAGAGATTAGAAAAATGTACCAGCCATCAGAAACTTCTGTCAGATTGAAAAGGGCTACAATTTGAAGAACTGGGTAGAAGTGAACCTTCATCTGTGTGTATAGGTTAGCATACTGCTTTCTCATTTATTCAGTAACTGTTGTGGACCTTCCATGTTAACTTGCAGTGCTGTTGACACTCAGCTCTCAGTTTCCCTTTTGATAGCTAGGCTAGTTCTTTGGGCAGAAGAAGACCTTCCTGTCTTGATCATCTCTTCAGTGCAGCGATTCTTCTGGCTTTACACTTTTTCAGTGTAGTGGGTACCAGTCTCTGCTCTCTATATAACAAATGGAGGGCTTTAGATAGAGTTAATTCTGTAATAGTCAATGAACGATATATAGCATGGTACAGTTTAGTTTCATGTTGTCAAATCTTAGGAGTTCTAAAACATTTCAGCTTTTAAATTTTCCTTAAAATATATTATTCTGTTGCTTGTCAAAGTGTTGTTCTGAACTAATTGCTCTTCTTCAAAATGCAGAATCAAAATTTCGCAAAACTTTCGTTTCTCAGATAATGCTTACGATCCTGATGTGAATGCTAAACAGATATGGATTGACAAAACAGTGATAAATGACCATATATGCCTGACATTCACTGATAATGGGAATGGTATGACTTCAGACAAATTACATAAAATGCTGAGGTATGTAAAGTGTCACACTCCTTAAAATCATTGCTTTTACCTAGTTCAGGTGTTTCATGTGTCATACTTAGACCCTGTAGTTTTTGTTTTTTAAACATGAAATGCTATACCCACAGTGTGCTCTATTCTCCTAAGTCTTCTGTCATTTTCTACTACTGTTAGATTATTATTATTTTTATTTTTATTTATTTATTTATCTTTTGCGGTACGCGGGCCTCTCACTGTTGTGGCCTCTCCCGTTGTGGAGCACAGGCTCTGGACGCGCAGGCTCAGTGGCCATGGCTCACAGGCCCAGCCGCTCCACGGCATGTGGGATCTTCCCAGACCGGGCATGAACCCATGTCCCCTGCATCGGCAGGCGGACTCGCAACCACTGCGCCACCAGGGAAGCCCTACTGTTAGATTATTAAGCAGTCCCTGCCATTCTCATCACCCGCTCCCCATTTCTGACTTATCTAAAATTCCACCATTCCTTTAGAGTTGTAGCACATTGACATCAGTTGTTTGTGCTTTAGTGGAAATAGTTTTAGCTACTATTTCCTATAAAACTTACCACTTTGGGGAATGGGGACTGGTAATTTTAAAGTGACACAGGATGAGGAAGTAGCGTAGTTGTAAGGGCTTGGGCTCTAGGGTCACAGAAATAGGATGTCAGGATGAAGCCAACTGTGCCTGAAATAGAAGCTAAGATACATAGTACAGGTATGAGGTAGAGGGAGGATTTGCCTCAGAGGCCTTTCTGCTGTCTCTCAAATACTCCTTACACTGATAAAAAAGTCAGGTTCACCCGATCGATAATCACAGTACGGCAGGCTTGCTGAGAACAAGAGAACCCTTCACACTTAGAGGAAGAGATTTCATGGGGTGAAATCTCAAGGTCCCTGGAGCCTAAATTATAATTCAGCCATTTAGCTGGGATGTGCCAGGCAATGAGCTCCTGTTTTAGTATGTGTAATCTTTACATCCCTATAATGTGGATTTGGTTTCCTTCTTTTCAGAGATAGGGAAACACATCAATATAGATTAAAAGTAATTTGCCCAAGATTGTACAGCAAGGAAGGATGAGGCTAACATTCAAACTTAGGCACTTTACTTGGTATTACAGTTTTTGAATTAACATAAATGAAGATTATACATACTTATTAAATTTTTTTTTCTTTTTAGCTTTGGCTTCAGTGACAAAGTCACCATGAATGGTCACGTCCCAGTTGGATTGTATGGGAATGGCTTCAAGTCAGGTTCTATGCGTTTGGGTAAAGATGCAATGGTTTTTACCAAAAATGGAGAAAGCATGAGCGTGGGCTTCTTGTCTCAGACCTACTTGGAAGTCATAAAAGCAGAACATGTTGTTGTCCCAATAGTGGCATTCAACAAAGACCATATCCTTTTGATTTTGAAATTGAAACTATGAAGAAATAATCTGAACCATTCCATCCTTCTGCCCTCCTCCAGATTCTTGTTTTTTAATCATACCTTCCATTCTAGCTCTTGTTCCTATCCACTGCCTCTACTCTACATCTGGGCTAAATGTTTGTCCCTTTGTTTTCTCTATTGGAATTGTGCCATGGAAATCCTTAGCATAAGGCGATTGCATTTTATGTTAAGCTTCTTTATTTCAGTCTTTTTGTGGTCTGATAAGCTTATGATCTGGCTTGATATTTTCACCAAAAAATGAAAAAGCAAGATATCCTTAGGAAAATGTCTTCTGTATAAACATTCAAATATTGGAAATAATTAAAGTAGGAATAATAATAAACTTCTTCATACTTCATCCTTCTTGGTGTTCATTTGAAATCACACTATCATTTTAAAACTTAGAAAATAATTTAGGAAATGGTTTTTCAGTTAGTTTGAGTTGGTTTCCATATTGTAATTGTGAAAAATACGCCATTGGTCTAAGTCTTTAACTTAGGATATACGACAGATAATTAATTTAACAGAATCGAAAGCGAGTCTTGCTGCAATTCTGGAACATTCTCTGTTTTCTACGGAACAGAAATTACTGGCAGAGCTTGATGCTGTCATCGGTAAGAAGGGGACAAGGATCATCATTTGGAATCTCAGAAGGTAAACGGTAGACCTCAGCTAGTTGTTAACCATTTGGGAAGTAAAGCGCATGTGTGGGAATAATTTCATTACGTTCATGCTTTGTCACACAAGAGTGCAAATATATTGGAAGGTCCTCATTTTATGGCATAGTTAATGATTTACCTTTTCCAAGGGTATTTTATTGAGGCTACTTTGGCTTCAATTTGAGATAATTTCATATTACTAAAAATAAATTTCCTAGCCCTGCCATTCTGTCTCCATAGCACTCTATTTTCGCTCTTGGTTATACCATCCCTCTCCTCAAAAAAAAAAGAGAAATGAAACGAAAAGATAAAGCCCAGCCAACAAGTCCCAACTTGAGTAAGTTAGAGAAATCTTTGTCTGTTTGGTTAATTACATAAAGCTAAGCACAATTCAGCATCTGTTGAGAAAAATAATACAAATGAGACTTCTGTGTTGCTAAATCTTTGTGAGGATAAAATCCTTTGCAAATAAAGTTCTAAAATTTAGGGTAAATGTGTGATATTGAGAGACCTAAGATCTGTTGAACCATAGGAATAAAGCACACATAGTGATAATCCTAAAATCCTTTAATTCTTGTGCTTTTCTGACCACCTGTATTCCGTTTTTCTTTTATTTTCTTTTTCTTACTTTCTTCCCTGCCCCTCCCATCCTCCCCACCATTTTTTCTTTAACTTTTAATTTTGAGATAATTGTAGATTCATATGTAGTTGTAAGAAATCTCATGTACTCTTTACCCAGTTTCCCCCAATGATAACTTCTTGGAACACTACAGTACAATAGTACTGTTGATACTGACATTGATACAGTCAAGGTACAGGACAATTTCATCAACTCAAGGATCCCTTTTATATCCACACCCACTTCTTCCTTAATCCCTGGCAACCTCTAACATGTTCTCCATTTCTGTAACTTTGTCATTTCAAGAATATTCTGTAACTGGAATCATACCGTGTGAAACCTTTTGGGATTAGCTTTTTTCATTCAGCATAATTTTCTGAAGATTCATCCAGGTTCTTGTGTGTCCGTTTGCTTCCTCTTACTTGCTGAGTGGTAATTGCATTGTATGGATGGACCACAGTGTGTTTACCAATCTGGTTGTTTACAAGTTTCATTTATTACAAATAGAGCTATAAAACAGGGGTTCCCAACCTTTTTGTCATCAGGGTCTGGTTTCATGGAAGACAGTTTTTCCACAGGGTTGGGGGGTGGGGTTCAGGCAGTAATGCAGTGATGGGGAGCAGCAGGTGAAGCTTTACATCTCCTGCTGTGCGGCCGGGTTCCTAACAGGCCCAGGGGTTGGAGACCCCTGCTATAAAATGTGTGCATAGAGATTTTTGTGGGAATATGGTCATCATTTTGTGGGCTAAATGCCCAGGAGTGTAATTGCTGGATCATATGGTAGTTGCATGTTTATTTTTTTAAGAAACTATCAGAATGTGGCTCTATCATTTGACATTCCCAATGGCAATGTGTGAATGAATACAGTTCTTTCCTGTACCTTCTGGGTTTCTTTTCTCCCTCTCTCCCTCCCTCCAACTCCTCTGACCTTAACTGCCACCACATGTTCGTGTTTTGTTTTGCTAACTGAAAGTTTTTTGCTTGCTTATCTTATGGTGAAGTTAAAATTTAGCTCTTATAAAAAATTATTTTTGCAGCTACAAAAGTGCAACAGAGTTTGATTTTGATAAGGATAAATATGACATTAGAATTCCAGAAGATTTAGATGAGACAGCAGGGAAGAAAGGGTACAAGAAGCAAGAAAGGATGGACCAAATTGCCCCTGAGAGTGACTATTCTCTGAGGGTATGTATTTAGCTCTCTTTGTGGGAGTGAGAAAATCATCAAATAATGGAAATTGTTAACCACTTGTATTATAAATGCTGCCAGAAATCTCTAAGTATCTCAGACATGAACCAACTTATTAAATTTGTCTTGTGTGCACTGCTTGTTTTATTTGCCTAGAAAAGTTTTTTAATTGCGAAGTCATCAGATCTAACAGTGCTTGTAAAAGTTCTTTCACTGTGTGGTTAATTATTTGAATTGGGAATACTAGAATCAGTTTGTCCTGTGATGGCCATATTGATTGATTCAATCAAAACGCCAGATTCAGAGTGTGTCTTTTAAAATTTAAAATATTCTCTAGAACACGCACACACACAGATACCCTAAAGCAATAAATTATGTATAGCCTATACATAATGCACGTTAGTATAATTTTGTGATAAATATCTTTGAGATTTGACCTTAGAGATGAGAATGTTTTTAAGATTGAAGGAATTCATATCTCAATATAACAGTGTTGATATAATAAGAATATTAAGTTTCGGGCTTCCCTGGTGGTGCAGTGGTTAAGAATCCGCCCGCCAATGCAGGGGACACGGGTTCGAGCCCTGGTCCGGGAAGATCCCACATGCCACGGAGCAACTAAGCCCATGCGCCACAACTACTGAGCCTACGCTCTAGATCCCACGAGCCACAGTTACTGAGCCCGCACGCCTAGAGCCCATGCTCCGCAACAAGAGAAGCCACCACGACAAAGAGTAGCCCCCGCTTGCTGTAACCGAAGAAAGCCCACGCAGCAACAAAGACCCAACGCAGCCAAAATAAATAAATTAATTAAAACAAAGAATATTAAGTTTCTTAGTCACTATGATAAGACATATAATACTATTCCCTTTTTTTTCCTTCTTTTTGTTTTTCTTGGCTGCACTGTGGCATGTGGGATCTTACTTCCCCGACCAGGGAGAGTGGTCCTAACCACTGGACCACCGGGGAATTCCCCTTCTCCCTTTTTTTGTGCTAAAATTATTTCATAACCCCAAGCTAAGGATTCATTTGACGTTTACAAGTATACTATGTAATTTTTTCTGAGATTCTGGCAATTACAATGGCAGCTATTACTATTCCTTGATATACTCCAGTGTGTTAGTGAAGTATGTCCTAGTTGTTAAGAAAATCTTAACTCAAGAATATACAGAGGTCGCCAGAGCAGATGGTATAATGTTAGTGTACCATGAAAAAAATGTTTTAAAATATCATTAATGAATTTTATAAATGGGCAAAACACCACTAATTTTGAAATCAGGAGTCAGGAAAAAAAACAAGAGACATGTTCAAATTTTAGTTTTGTGTTGAACTTTTCATATATCCTCCTTAAGTTGTTCAGTTCATTTCCCTCAGAGATTTCTGATAGCTTGGAGACAGGCACAGGAGATCATATTTTAACATGTTTTAGGATGCAAAGTTTCGTCACAATTCTAAGTCTAAACTTCCATGTATTAAGAATTGAAAACACGTTTAGGGAATTCCCTGGCGGTCCAGTGCTTAGGACTAGGCACTTCCACTTTCATGGCCCATGTTCAGTCCCTGGTCAGGGAACTAAGATCCCGCAAGCCTCAGTGCGGCCAAAAAAAAAAAAGAAAGAAAAAAAAAAAAGACTGGAAAACACATTTAGATGACTGCTGATTTTTACAGCTCCATATGGAAGAAGTGCTGTTTGTCTACTGTGCTGAAATGTTGGTGCATTATTTATGATTTTTTTCCTTTTCAAGCTTATAATAGTCCCTTTTGTTTATATTAGATTTTGCTTATTTTTGCCCAAATAAAATTTATTGATGCTTTAAGAATTATAATAGCAATATATAGTTTTGACAGGAGAGTCAGAAAATAGTCCTTTTTGTACACATAAACATATTTTTAAAATTAAAATGAGACCATACTATACATGCTGTTTCTTAACTTTTTTTCACTTAACATATCAACATCTATGTAGGTCAGTAGATTGTTTTCTGTAAGTCATTTTTACTGGCTACAGTATATTGAGCTTGTTTTTAATAAAAAGTATTTAGATATTAACTAATACACCTTTATAGTCTATAGTATTTTATTGAAGAGTTAATATGTCTTTTATCAAAGCAAGGCGGTAGCTTCCTTTTTAAATACATGCATAAGTAATGTTGAACAAATCCATAGATAAATATGTGGAAAGGACAGATAATTGTGTGTCTTTGCAGGCTTACTGCAGTATATTATATCTAAAGCCACGAATGCAGATCATCTTGCGTGGGCAGAAAGTGAAGACACAGCTAGTTTCGAAGAGTCTTGCCTACATTGAACGTGATATTTATCGACCCAAATTTTTAGTATCCTTTATTTTGCTTGTTATGATGCTGTATATAGATACGTATCAGTCAAGTGTACTTCCCTTCCCCCTTTCTCCTTTTATCTTGATAGAGTCAATCCTCTCCAACTTTTGCCCTTTTTTGCACCTTTGGATTCAATAATGAGGGCTTCCCTGGTGGCGCAGTGGTTGAGAGTCCGCCTGCCGATGCAGGGGACGCGGCTTCGTGCCCCGGTCCGGGAATATCCCACATGCCGCGGAGCGGCTAGGCCCGTGAGCCATGGCCGCTGAGTCTGCGCATCCGGAGCTTGTGCTCCGCAACGGGAGAGGCCGCAACAGTGAGAGGCTCGCGTACTGAAAAAAAAAAAAAAAAAAAAAGAGGAAGGGTGGTTTGAAGGGAATGAGGTGGTGTGTTCAGAATTTTCCTTAACATTTAAGACTAATAAAACTGTGAGAATTACTTTTGGATTCAACTGCAGAAATAAAGATCATTATGGGATAATGATGTATCACAGAAATAGACTCATCAAAGCTTATGAAAAAGTTGGATGTCAGTTAAGGGTAAGTTTATATCTGAAAATGTCTGTATCTTTTATAAAAGTTAGGATAACAGGGCATCCCTGGTGGCGCAGTGGTTGAGAGTCCGCCTGCCGATGCAGGGAACACAGGTTTGTGCCCCGGTCTGGGAGGATCCCACATGCTGTGGAGCCGCTGGGCCCGTGAGACATGGCTGCTGAGCCTGCGCGTCCAGAGCCTGTGCTCTGCAACGGGAGAGGCCACAACAGTGAGAGGCCCGCGTACTGCAAAAAAAGAGTTAGGATAACGTTATCAGGTCAAATGTGTAACAATGTACTTTTTGCCTAATGACTTTTAAATGTCAATGTTTTTAATAACTGGTATGGCACTTGACCTTAGAACGCTTTTATATTAATTTGAGGACAGAACATTTTATCTCTTTTACAGATGAGGGAATTGGGGCTAATAAGTAACCCGCCTTAGACCTCAGGCACAGGTGCAGATATTTTCTCTACACTTGGAAAAGGATCCTTGATTTTTTTCATACTAGAATAAAATTGATTGGTTTTAATTAGTTGTTGACTCAATAGCCTAAAAAATAGTATCTGATAGGTGATTTACTTTTCTGGAGTTAGTTCCTGAATATATCAGAGTTTTCCTCCTAAGCCACTTCCATTGTTGTAGAATTCAATTTAGGATGGTGAACATTGCCCACTATGTCGATCTGTTTATCCTTTACCTGTTTTCACAGAAAATTTTTTTGTTGTGTGTGGGTGGGTGTTAAGAATTTGTGATAAATTCTGAAATTCAGCTTTGTTAAGGTTTTAAGTCCAGGCATATTTTGTTTTCCAATTCTATGATGTTCATTTTCTATTCATTTTATTTCATTCTAAATTGTTTGCAACAACATGGATGGACCTGGAGCATAGTATGCTTAATGAAGTATAATATGTCAGGAAAAGATAAGTACTGTATGTTACCGCTTATATGTGGAATCAAAAAAATAAAACAAGTGAGTGAATGTAACAAAACAGAAACAGACTCACAGACACGGAGAACAAACTAGTGGTTTCCAGTGGGGGCAGGGTGGCAGGGGGAGATAGGGTTAGGGGATTAAGAGGTACAAACTACTATGTATAAAATAAATAAGCCACAAGGATATATTGTACAGCACAGGGAATATAGTGAATATCTTATAATTTTAAATGGAGTATATAAAATATTGAATCACTGTGTCATACACCTGAAACTAATATAGTATTGTAAATCAACTATATTTCAATTTTTGAAAAAGTAAATGAGGGCTTCCTTGGTGGCGCAGTGGTTGAGAGTCCGCCTGCCGATGCAGGGGACACAGGTTCGTGCCCCGGTCCGGGAGGGTCCCACATGCCGCAGAGCGGTTGGGCCTGTGAGCCATGGCCGCTGGGCCTGTGCGTCCGGAGCCTGTGCTCCGCAACGGGAGAGGCCGCAGCGGTGAGAGGTCCGCATACCGCAAAAAAAAAAAAAAAAAAGTAAATGAACTTTGTTGGGCTCTTCTTTGTAACCACTGATTTCAATTAGAAATATAAATCCAGAAATATGACAACCATGATACAAGGTATCAATAACTTATTTAAAATGCTAATTTTTATTTATAATTGGAATAGTAATTTTTTTTTTTTTTTTTTTGCGGTACGCGGGCCTCTCACTGTTGTGGCCTCTCCCGTTGCAAAGCACAGGCTCCGGACGCGCAGGCTCAGCGGCCATGGCTCACGGGCCCACCTGCTCCACGGCATGTGGGATCTTCCCAGACCGGGGCACGAACCTGTGTCCCCTGCATCGGCAGGCGGACTCTCAACCACTGCGCCACCAGGGAAGCCATGGAATAGGAATTTTTGCCAGAAATACTCTATAATTATAAAGTTCTGAATTTCACTGGTAATTGGAAATGTATTTTTGGTAATAGGCCTTATTTCTCAAGTGTTTTGACTTAAGGTACATAATCCATTTTTCCAACCCAGTTAAATTTGCATTACATATAATTTCTGGTTAAGTTTAACCTTGTAAAAAATATGCTTTTACAGCCAACTTTTTTTTTTTTTTAAATAAATGTATTTTATTTTTGGTTGCATTGGGTCTTCGTTGATGCGCACGAGCTTCCCATTGTGGTGGCTTCTCTTGTTGCAGAACACGGGCTCTAGGCGCACAGGCTCCGTAGTTGTGGCACACGGGCTTAGTTGCTCCACAGCATGTGGGATCTTCCCAGACCAGGGATCGAACCCATGTCCCCTGCATTGGCAGGTGGATTCCTAACCACTGTGCCACTAGAGAAGCCCTACAGCCAACTTTTAATGTTTTTCTTTACCAGAAGATGGACTGGTCGTAGTATTTGGATTCAGTAAACATTTATTAAATACTTGGTATGATTTTCCACGCTAGATGCTCAGCATAAAAAGATGAAAAGGTACAGCACATGCCCCCAGAGCTCTTTCTGATGAGGGGAATGTGGTACATCCTTGGAGCAGCAGAAAGGGCTTCTTGTAGAAAGTGGTGATTGAGATGAGACTGAGTTGATTTACTGTTTGGGGAAGTCTGGCAAGAGCTTTCTAGACAGAGAAAGGAATGTCTGCGAAGGAAAAGAAAGAGGCTTCTGAGAGGATGGCATCATTAGGGGAGTTGTTATGCCTGGACCAGGTGGTAAGTGGGGAATGGGAGAGAGGAAGATGAGGCCAGAAAGGAGGTAAAAAAGAACTAAGATTGAAGGGTTCTGTGGTTTACAAGTTGTATGAAATGAGGAACCACTGATGGTTTTTAGTGAAGTAGCATTATGATTAGGTTTTCATGGTTTTGTCTATAGTTGCATCTATGAAAATTCTCAGAAGTCAGTATTCCACTTTTTCTCTTTATACTTAGACTCAGCTATAGTCGTGAACAAAATACATGTGTTAATCACATGTAGATAATCAGAAAATGACTCAGATACTTTGGGTTCAGTGTTTTAGCTAGCAGGTTTAAAAAATAACCTAGGTCAGTTGAATTGAAGTTTTTACTTCATCACAATAAACAACTGAATGTGTAACTTTGGATAAATGTCTTTAATTTTTATCTAACGAACTTACGGAATATTATGTGCCAAAGCCTTTGCTAGGCACTATGGATACTGGAAGGAGTTACTTGTGGTTTTTAGTAGCTAAGAAATGGCATCCCAGTAGAGGGGATCTTTTTTCCCTAGTATAAAATCGGGAATGATAATACTTGTCGACATGAATACTTGCTAACAGTGGAAGTGGTTTTGGAGGAAAGCTGCTGTTACATATTTAGGAGTTAGCTCCCAGAAAGGTAAATTACCTGCCAGACACTGTTTTTCAATCTAAATGTCATGAGCATCAGATAAAATATAGGAAAATGTTTCATGCAGATCTTAAATCTTGGTGAAGGGATAATTGTTTGAAGCATCATGTTTCATGTTTAAAATGCCAGTTTTATTTTTCAGGCAAACAACATGGGTGTTGGAGTAGTGGGGATTATAGACTGTTATTTCCTAAAGCCGACTCATAATAAACAAGATTTCGATTATACTAACGAATACAGGTATGTTACCTATTTAAATGACTGACTTCTTACTATTCATTTTGGAAATACTTTCATAACTTTTTCTAAGCTGGATTTCTTTCTGTTTTGTGGGAAGCTTGCATAGAAAACACATGTAATCATTTTCTCATCCCTGGGGATTGTATTCTACTCCGTCACAAATAGAAATATATTCTCCTCTGTCTTTACTGATGAAGAATTTTTGAGATTTGTACTAAATAGAGGAAGTTCCTGCTTTCTTGGTAACATTTTTTTGTGTAATATAAAATCCAGAAACTCTGATCTTGGATGGGAACTTTAAGATAACTTAGTCCTATGTACTTGAGACAGAAATGCTCGTATCTTTTAAGAGTGATCAGAAGCCATAAAATAAATATGACCATCAATTTTACTTGTAAATTTAGGAAGCACAAACAGTTGTCCTAATGAGCGTATATTATGAAGAAGAATGCAAACTTCATATAAAAACAAAGTGGAAGGAGGGAAATGTTAAAGAGCAAAATCAGCAAATTAGGAAACACACAATAGAGAAAATCAATCAATATTCAGAGTATAGTCCTGAGACAGAAGCTACCCCTGTTATTTGAACAGGGAAAATATAGGGAGTTGTTAACCAGAATAGTAGAAGGTGATCACTCAGAGAGGTGAAAGAGGACAGTAGATGTCCAGAACTAGCTGATACAAAAGAGCAGCAGTTACCTCTAGGTTGAAAAAGAGTAGACAATAAAGGAACTAAGAGAGGATCCTGGGTCCCTGATGTCAGAGATTCAGATCTCTTTGTAGAGGTCATAACAAACACAGCAACAGGCCACCTGCCATGGCAAGAAGCTTGCCAGAAGGCCTGGCCAGTCTGGGTCTGTAGACATGGCCTGCTGTTGCCAGGGGATGTGGGTGGGCTTGGGCTGGAGCTGTTCTGTAGAGGAGACCTGTCTGTGCCCAAGGGTGTGAGTATATGCTGGAACTGGTTCCTGCTGCTGGAGGGAAGAGCGTGGCCTGAAAGCACAGCTGGAGCTCTTTTGGGAGGCCATGGGCTCCAGCCAAATAACAATGAAGCACCAGACCTGAAGGCCATGTGTCTTGCTGCTCTCACCTGGTAGGTTCATTGCCCCGTTAACCCGGTGTAACATTCCTCAGGCTGGCAAAGGATGAATGTTTACAGGATCAAGCTCCATTATCACAAAACTGAACCCAAAAAAACCCTGTTTGGAACGGGAAGACAATAAGTTGATAATTGACACAATCAAAAGCCCAAAGTTTGTTTTTTGGTAAGATTAACAAAGTCTATAAGCATCTGGCAAGACTAAGGAAAAAGAGAAAACAATAATCATCAATATCAGAAATGAAAAGGAAGACATTACTACAGATCTACAGACAGAAAAACACAGAGGGGCAGCATGAACAATTTTAGACCATTTTAGATGATATGGACACCTTCCTTTCAAACTGAATCAAATTAAAAATTTCCCACATACTTTCAAACATTTAAGGAAGTGGCGGCGCCAGGTTACACAATCATTAAAGGTTTTAAAAGACCACATAACTAGTAGTGAACTCACGAATGCATTACAAGAAAGGAAATTTATGTCAGTCTCTCGTGATTTAAGATATAAAAATCTTAATTAAACAGCAAATACCATTTAGTAACTTGTAAAAAGAATAATACATTAAAACCAAGTGGATTGTATTCCAAGATGGCATGGGTGGTTTTTACTATTCAAAATTCAATGTAATTCATCATGTTAAAGAAAAATCTCATGGTTATTTTCATAGGTACAGAAAAAGCGCTTGAGAAACTACAGTATCAATTTGTGATGTAGGAAAAAAGGGAACTCTTACAAAACCATTAATAGAAAGGGCATATTAGCAATACCGACTATTTAGCAAAAAACAGCAGTTCCTAATGGTGAATTATTGACAGCTTTCCGCTTAAGAGTGGGAGTAAGATAAGGTTATCAGCTATTCACCATTGTTCTTGAGGAAATAACCAGAACAAATAAGGCAAAAAAGAAAGAAATGAAAGAATAAGCGTTGGAAAGGAATAAATAATTTTCTGTAGGTGACAATATCAAGTATATAGAAAGTCCCAAATAATCTGCAGTGTAATACAGAGTCTAAGGTTGCTCGATAAGAAGTATTCAGAAGTTTGTTTACCAGCCAGAAAAAGAAAACCAGCCATGCGATTCAAAAATTTTTATACATAATAACATCAAAAAAGCAAGTGCTTTGGAGTAAATAAAATATGCAAAGACCTCAACACACTAAAAACTATAAAACATTGTGGAGTGAAATTTCAAATCTGAATAAATAGGTATACCAGGTTCAGGAGTTGGTAGGCTGAATATTATAAAATGTTGTTTTTTTCTCCAAAGTAATTAAATACAATTCCAGGTTAAAAAAAAATCCCAGCAGGTGTGTGTGTATGTTAATAGGCTTAATTTAAACTTTATGTGGAAAGTCAGAAGACCAAAGCTAGTTAAGACAAAGAACAGCAAATCAAGAGGACTCATGCTACTACATATCAGCACTTAAAAAGCTGTAGGGAAAGTGTGGTGTTAATGAAAAAATAGGCTAGTGAAATAGAATAGAGAAGCCAGAAACAAGTCCCTGCTTTTTATACATATGGTCAGCTGATTTATGACGAAGGTGTAGTAGGAAAATGATCATCTTTCTAAAAATGATGGTTCAGCATTTTGTATGAACAAAATGAACGTTAACTTCTCCCTCTTATATGAAGCAAAAAATCAATTGCAGATGGATTTTAAGCCTAAATGAGAAAGGCAAAAACAAAATGAAAACAAGAATAGTTTCATAACCTGTAATTTAGGTGGTTTTTTTAAAACAAGATGCAAAAGTATTGATACATTAGATCAAAATGGAAAAATTATCTAAAATGAATAAGATATAGCAAATGTTGGTAAGATGTAGGGCAGTTGGAACTCCTGTATGTGCTGTTGGGTGTGAGAATTGTTGATCATTTTTGAAAGTTATTAGACTGTATTGAGTAAAGGTGGACATCAGTGCCCACCCCTGTGACCCCGCAGTTCCACTCCTATAGGTGTATTTTCAACAGAAATGGGTGCAGTCTCATGGATTGAGGAATAGAGGTGATAAGAAAAGGAGATGAGGAAGAACTGAAAAAGTGATATGAAAGGTGAACCATGTTCGGGAGGGGAGATGATACATTCTTATTCGGATGTTTATGTGTTGTTATAGTGGGGCTTCCTGGTGGGGAAAAATAGAGATAATGAATGGATAGATATGTCTAATATTAACCTGTCAGTACAGAATTTCAAATCTTGATTTTTATTTATTTTTTAATTAATTTATTTTTTGGCTGCGTTGGGTCTTTGTTGCTGCGTGTGGGCGTTTTCTAGATGCGGCGAGCGGAGGCTACTCTTCTTTGCGGTGCGCAGGCTTTTCATTGTGGTGGCTTCTCTTGTTGCGGAGCACGGGCTCTAGGCTCGCGGGCTTCAGTAGTTGTGGCGCACGGGCTTAGTTGCTCCGCAGCATGTGAGATCTTCCCTGCCCAGGGCTCGAACCCGTGTTCCCTGCATTGGCAGGCGGATTCTTAACCACTGCGTCACCAGGGAAGCCCGAGTCTTAATTTTTAAAAGCTTTATTTACTCCATTGAAGTATACTTGATTTACAATATTATGTTAGTTTCAAGTGTACAGCAAAGTGATTTGGTTATATGTATATTTGTACGTCTATAATTCTTTTTTTATTCTTTTCCATCTTAGTTTATTATAAGATATTGAAATAGTTCCCTGTGCTATACAGTAAATCCTTGTTGTTCATTTTATATATAGTAGTATGCATCTGTTAATCCCGTACTCTCAATTTATGCCTCCCCACCCCCCTTCCCCTTTGGTAACCTTAAGTTTGTTTTCAAAGTCTGAGTCTGTTTCTGTTTTGTAATAAGTTTGTACTATTTTTTAGGTTCCACATATAAGTTGATATATAATATTTGTCTTTGTCTGACTTACTTCACTTAGTATCATAATCTCTAAATCCATCCATGTTGCTGCTGATGGGACTATTTCATTCTTTTATGGCTGAGTAATATTCCATTGTATATATTGATGTATACACCACATCTTCTTTATCCATTACTCTGTCGATGAACATTTAGGTTGCTTCCATGTCTTGGCTGTTGTAAATAGTGCTGCACATGTGGGGTGCATGTGTCGTTTTTCCCCCCCCACCCCTTGCCGTGCCATGTGGCATGTGGGATCTTTGTTCCCTGACCAGGGGTCGAACCCATGCACCCTACATTGGGAACACGGAGTCTTAACCACTGGGCTGCCAGGGAAGCCCCAGGTGCATGTATCTTTTTGTTTTTTAATTTATTTTATTTATTTATCTTTGGCTGCGTTGGGTCTTCGTTGCTGCTGCGCGGGCTTTCTCTAGTTGCGGCGAGCGGAGGCTACTCTTTGCGGTGTGCGGGCTTCTCATCGTGGTGGCTTCTCTTGTTGCCTAGCGTGGGCTCTAGGCGCGCAGGCTTCAATAGTTGTGGCATGTGGGCTCAGTAGTTGTGGTGCACGGGCTTAGTTGCTCCATGGCGTGTGGGATCTTCCCGGACCAGGGCTCAAACCCGTGTCCCCAGCATTGGCAGGTGGATTCTTAACCACTGCGCCACCAGGGAAGCCCTATCTTTATGAATTATAGGTTTCTCCAGATGTATGCCCAGGAGTGGTGTTGCTGGATCATATGGTAACTCTTATTTTTAGTTTTTTAAGGAACCTCCATACTGTTTTTCATGGTGCTTCCACCAATTTACATTCCCAGAAGCAGTGTAGGAGGGTTTGCTCTTCTCCACACCCTCTCCAGCATTTATTATTTGTAGACTTTTTGATGATGGCCATTCTGACCGGCGTGAGGTCATGCCTCATTGTTATTTTGATTTGCATTTCTCTGATAATTAGTGATGATGAGTATCTTTTCATGTACCTGTTGGCCATCTGTATGTCTTCTTTGGGAAAATGTATATTTAGATCTTCTGCCCAAGTTTTGATTGGGTTGTTTTTTTGTTATGGAGTTGTATGAGCTCTTTGTATATTTTGGAAATTAAACCCTTGGCAGTTGTATCCTTTGCAAATATTTTCTCACATTCCATAGGTTGTCTTTTTGTTTTCTTTGCTGTGCAAAAGCTTGTGAGTTTGATTAGATCCCATTTGTTTATTTTTGCTTTTTTTTTTTCCCTTGCCTTGAGAGACTGACCTAAGAAAACATTGCTACGATTTATGTCAGTGTTTTGCTTGTGTTCTCTTCTAGGTGTCTCATGGTGTCATGTCTTATATTTAAGTCTTTAAGCCATTTTGAGTTTATTTTTGTGTGTGGTGTGAGGGAACGTTCTAACTTGATTGATTTACACGCAACTGTCCAGCTTTCCCAACACCACTTGCTGAAGAGACTGTCTTTTCTCCATTGTATGTTCTTGCCTCCTTTGTCAAAGATTAATTGACTATAGGTGTGTGAGTTTGTTTCTGGGCTTTCTATTCTGTTCCATTGATCTATATGTCTGTTTTTGTGCCAGTAGCACACTGTTTTGATTGCTCTAGCCTTGTAGTAGTTTCTGAAGTCCAGAAGGGTTATGCCTCCAGCTTTTTTCTTTTTTTTTTTCAGGATTGCTTTGGCAATTCTGGGTCTTTTGTGGTTCCATATAAATTTTAGGATTATTTGTTCTAGTTCTGTGAAAAACATCATGGGTAATTTGATAGGGATCACATTGGCTGTTTTAAATTTAAGATGTTACACTGACTGTATCTTGTGTGTGCAGACAGTTCCTGGCACAGTAGGTACTTAACTCCTTAACAAATGATTATTCAGTTGTGACCCACAGTCATGTTTATCTCAGTAAGTCCTGTTGATTTGCTTTTTTACTGACACCGTATTGTGGGAAAAGTGAAAGTCTTAATTGTGGGACAGAAGCTATTTTGAATTATACTTGCTGGTAATGGTTGCATACTTTTATAAAGCAAACAGCTGCATTCTGGTTTGCATTGAAGCTTGTAAGTTTGTTGGTTGGGGTGAAGTTCAGAAAGCCTGTGGTTTTCCCAGTAGCTGGTCTGCAACACACTTCCTCAACAGAGGACCTAAAGGGTTAGTATTGTCCATCTTATTCCTAGATGGTCCTGGCTCTGTTCTATGAACTCATCTATATCCTTAGAGAAAATTGCCATTACTTTAAGTTTTCTTAACTGTGCCTTTTGGAGGCCCCTCCCTCCGTGTTCACATGATCAGTACCAGGTTGTTTATTCTTTCTCTGTTTGTCAAAGATTTAATCTTTATCTTTTTTTTCTTGAATTGATTTTATAATTTACTTTTTTTTAAGGCTTACAATAACAGCACTAGGAGATAAGCTCAATGATTACTGGAATGAAATGAAAGTGAAGAAAAATGCAGAATATCCTCTGACTTTGCTGGTTGAAGATATACAGTAAGTACATTTAAAAAATAATAAGTGACTATAATATCAAGATGTGATATTGGAGGGCATGGTGATTCTACAGTGTTCATAAACTTTTTAATCTAATCCATAGTAAGAAATAAATCCCACAACTCGAAAGCCTTTTATAAACTAAAAGAATATATACATTTAAGTTATTCAGAGAGGTGCTATAATAGAGGGTAAAATGTAATACAGTTATAAAAATTGCTTGAATTACAGTAATAGAACTTGCCTATTTTCTGTACTTTGAATGGTTTATTGTGCTAATAAGTATATTAGATTTGACACTGCAGATGCTAACTTAACATAAATTTCAGGGCAAGGCATTTGTAGTATTTTCTAAGTTTTTTAGTTTTTATTATAGAAAAAATGTAATAGTATGCTATTAAACAAGACTAAGTCACTTTGTTTAAATTGGTCTGTCACTTTTAACCTTCAGTGGTAGCCAAAATTGTTGTTTTTAAAATCTTAACTCACTGTCAAACGTTCCGGAATTTTCAGGGACAGAATTAAATAATAGGGGCATTTTGTGGTAGAAATGATGTGGAAAGTCTAGTGAAGTACTTAGATCCATATTTCCATGCTAATATTTAGTTGCTATTTTGTTACAGGAAACGTCCTGATCAGACATGGGTTCAATGTGATTCCTGTCTAAAGTGGCGAAAATTACCAGATGGGATAGATGAACTTCCAGAAAAATGGTATTGCTCCAATAACCCTGACCCACAGTTCAGGTACCATATAGTTGGTAGTAGCCTTTTTGGAAAGGCAGAAAGTACTGTTCAAGGTGTATGAATAGGCGCTGGTGACGTGTTATTCCCATGTGATTTTTCTGACTAGAAATTGTGATGTTCCAGAAGAGCCTGAAGATGAAGATTTGGTGCATCCCACTTATGAAAAAACCTACAAAAAGAAGTGAGTGTTATATTAATGTATGGTGGGAAAATAATACCCAGATCATCAACAGTGGTGTGTCTGTAGCATTAGTTGATATTTCTCCAAGATAAAGCAGTATAGCCAAAAAAGATTATGACTCCAAAAACAAAGATATGATGTGGAGTGCATAACATCAAGTGCTTTTAAAGTTTATACTGTGAGTACCTGCTGTTTATTGCTGTCCTATCTACAGGATACTTTGAATATACAGTATAGTTTTGTTCTTTTGGACTATACACCAGTGAATCAAAAGTGAATACTGCCCTTTATGAGCTCATGGTCTAACGGGGAAAGTGAGATGTGTGTATTATCAATTTAAAGTTGACGACTCCCGTAAAAGGCATGATCCAGTCCTGTGAGGAACCCCATAAGGAGAAATTACTTCTGGCTGGGGATGGGGAAATGTATCAGGAAAATCCATGAAGGACATTTTTGTAATAGGCCTTGAAGGAAAGGTAGGATTTGTTGGGTAGGAAGCGGTGGTTTGTTCAGCTTAACTACAGTAAATATGTGAATGGGGGATAATGGAAAATAGAGGTGGGAGAGAGAAGCTGGGGAACGATAGTGAACCACGGGGAACGTTAGGCTTATGTACTGCACACGGAAGGCTGAGTTGATGAAGATCTTCTGGGTGGTTTTGATTTATAGTACACTGTTCTTAAAGATAAATCCAGTAGCAGGAGTGGAAGACATTAGGGTGTTGCTGAGATAAGAGGTGGAAAGTACTTCCCTGCCTGAGGCCTTACCACTGATTATAACGAAATTGAAGCAAAGTTCAGTGTACCTATCTTATTGACTTAGTAGTAAAATGGCAAGTATGGCATTCGAAAACAGAATTGAAAAATCATAATGAAGTAAATTTAAATACATTTTTCTTTTCTCTCTCCTCTTTTTTTTTTTTTTAAGAGACAAGGAAAAATTCAGGATCAGACAACCGGAAGCAATCCCTCGGGTAATTAGGCCTTCCATTTTATAGCTGTGTCTTGTATTGTGTTGTGATTAATTTAATACTCAATTTTTTTCTTTTTTCGGTATGCGGGCCTCTCACCACCGTGGCCTCCCCTGCCACGGAGCACAGGCTCCAGACGCGCAGGCCCAGCGGCCACGGCCCACGGGCCCAGCCGCTCTGCGGCACGCAGGACCCTCCCGGACCAGGGCACGAACCCACACCCCCGGCATCGGCAGGCGGACTCCCAACCACTGCGCCACCAGGGAAGCCCTAATACTCAATTTTAAGCTTAGGAGTTACATAACAAATGGAAGCAGTCTCGTTCATTCAGTTCACATTTCTCTTCTCTTCCTGTACCCCTTCTTACCCTCTTTCCCAATACTGACTTCTAACCCACAGCTTCACTCAAACTTCTCAATTTTATTATACAGTTGGGCATTTTCTGAGGAAAGGCAGATATTCTTTTAAGAATCTCATTGTTGGGCTTTCCTGGTGGCGCAGTGGTTGAGACTCCGCCTGCTGATGCAGGGGACATGGGTTCGTGCCCCGGTCTGGGAGGATCCCACATGCTGCGGAGCGGCTGGGCCTGTGGGCCGTGGCCGCTGAGCCTGCGCGCCTGGAACCTGTGCTCCGCAGCGGAAGAGGCCACAACAGTGAGAGGCCCGCGTACCGCATTAAAAAAAAAAAAAAAAAAAAGAATCTTATTGTTAGGTAGACAGTCAAGGAAAAGTTCATAGGAAGACCCAGGCAGCCACATGGTAGTACTAACGTGGACCAAAGCTGTAGTGTTGACCCTTCAACCATAGTGTACGGTTGATTTACAATATTATATTAGTTTCAGGTGTACAACATAGTGATTCAGATTCTTACAGATAATACTCCAATAAAAGTTATTACAAAATAATGGCTATAATTTCCTTGCTGTACAATATGGCCTTGTTGCATTTATTTATTTATGCATTTATTTATTTATTTATGGCTGTGTTGGGTTTTCGTTGCTGTGCGCGGGCTTTCTCTAGTTGCAGTGAGCGGGGGCTACTCTTCGTTGTGGTGTGTCGCCTTCTCATTGCAGTGGCTTCTTCTGTTGCGGAGCATGGCCTCTAGGTGCGCGGGCTTCAGTAGTTGCAGCACATGGGCTCAGTAGTTGTGGCTCGAGGGCTATAGCGCTCAGGCTCAGTAGTTGTAGTGCACGGGCTTAGTTGCTCCGCGGCATGTGGGATCTTCCCTGGCCAGGGCTTGAACCCGTGTCCCCTGCATTGGCAGGCGGATTCTTAACCACTGCGCCATCAGGGAAGCCCATATCTGTTTTATACATAGTAGTTTTTATCTCTTAATTCATACCCCTATCTTTTTTTTAATATATATATTTTATTTTATTTATTTGGTTGGGCCAGGTCTTAGTTGCAGCAGGCGTGCTCCTTAGTTGCGCCTTGCCGGCTCCTTAGTTGTGGCAAAGTCTTAGTTGCAGCATGCATGTGGAATCTGGTTCCCTGAACCCAGGTGCCCTGCATCAGGAGCGTGGAGTCTTAACCACTGAGCCACAGGGAAGTCCTTCCATACCCCCTACATTTTTAATGCTTAATGGTGTTGAGCTTTTTCTGAGTGTATAAATAGGTAGTTGTACTTCTTGTATCAGAAGTTGTGGTCTGTTGCAGTTGTGTATGTGTGCTTATCATTACATTGAATTGTTTTGTTGTGTAAAGGCTGAGGGTTTGAGGGCGAGAACAGAACTGGGAGAAAAAGAATAGTGGGCTTACTTTGGTTTTTAAAGGCAGTGTCTTTGTGACTTTATCCTCAATTTCTTTCTCTTAGAAAAATAAGTTTTTATTATATGTCTATACGTTCTGTATAGTCCGAGTTCAGCAAATCTTTCAGTAAAAGGCCAGATAGTAAATATTTTAGGCTTTGTGGACCATATACAGTCTCTGTGGCATATTCTTTCTTTGTTTTGTTGTTTTGTTCATGTATTTAAACATGTAAAACCATTCCTAGCTCACTTGCAGGCTGGGTTTGGCTCTTTGGCCTATTGTTGATCACTCTCTGGTCTGGTGTAGCACAAGGAGTTTATGTGGTTAGGATAGTTCTCAGTGCGTCCTGGCATGGCGGAAAGGGGAAAGAATATCTTGTGTTTGGAACATGACACACTTTAAAAATTTCTTTAAGATCAGTTTTTTTTCCTTCAACAGATTCCTGCTGAACTCTTGTTTCCAACAACTCCTGTGTCAAGTCAAAGCTTTCCTCCCATTAAGGAAAATGTTCCAAGAGCACATCTTTCAGAAGCGGCAAATACTTATGCAACGAGACTTATAAATAATCATCGAGGTTCACCCCAGTCTGAACCTGAGAATAACAGGTCAGTGGCTAAAATGTGTTTTTCCATTTGGGGAATAAATATTAAACAGCTTTACTTGACACTTCAATGCAGTAATACGCTTCTAAGAAAGTGTAGTTGACATGCATGTGAAAAGTCTTAAGGACAAGTTACTTTGCTTTCATTGTCTGAACTTACCCCCACTCCATTTACGTTACCTGTTTAAATCAATTAAAAGAACATTAATTGTTTTTATTGTGGAGATTGATCAAATTGTCACCTCTTTGAAATTCTGTATAGTATGAAAATTCCTGCTTTTAAGATTATCAGTATCTGAGTAAAGAAAAACCTGAAGCAATTAACAGTACAACGCTGTAATGTCAAATGTGACCCATACGTTCTTAGCATAGCCCATGACATGCTGTGCACTTCGGATGAGTGGATGGAGAAGGAAGAGGAAGAAAGGTGTGAGTGATACATGAATTGGACAGTCAGCTCTTTTGACTGGAGTGGTCGGGAAGGCTGTATGATGAGCTGGTACTTAGGTTGGTCCCTGAAATTCTGAAAGCAGTAAGTGCTCTGCACGGTGGCCCATTCGAAGGGGATAGAATGGACACAGGGGAAAAGGCGTGTGACGCCAATGAACTAGTACATTAGACTGACTCCATCTGATATTTGTTATCGAAAGAGAAACATTGAAACAAGATTCTCTGAAATAGTGAGGCCAGACGTTCCGAGAGGTTTTGTAGCCTTCATTAAATTCTTAAAAGGATTTTTGAAAATTCAGAAAAGATTAGAAATTGTCTTAATGCATATATACATCAGGGAGGGCATGTTTTGAAATAGTTTGCTGTTTATAGCCTACATTTTGAGGTCTTAGTTTGTGGCTGAATTGCTCCTTAACTGAGAACATGTGTGAATTTTTTTTAACTAGTCTCCATAATATTGGCTTTTCTTCATAAAGATGGTTACAAAGTAAGAAAAAGTAAAATTTGTAATGTTACAGACGTGATAAGGGAATTTAATTTCGGATATGACTGCCATCAAAATGGAAGAAGAGAATAGAGTAAAACTTTTCATTAAATTAAAAAAATATATATTTATTTTATTTTTGGCTGTGTCGGGTCTTAGTTGCGGCACATGGGCTCTTTGCTGCAGTGCCTGGGCTTCTCTCTAGTTGCGGCCTGTGAGTTTTCTCTCTTTGTTGTGGTGTGTGCTCCAGAGCACATGGGCTCTATAGTTTGCAACACGCAGGGTCTCTAGTTGAGGCACGGGGGCTCAGTAGTTTTGGTGTACGGGTTTAGTTGCCCCTCGGCATGTGGTATCTTAGTTCCCTGACCAGGGATCGAACCTGCGTCCCCTGTATTGTAAGGAGGATTCTTTACCACTGGACCACCAGGGAAGTCCCCTTCATTAATTTTTAAAGCCTGTATTTATTCTTAAATTCATAGAGCCAAAGTCTGTGGAAAGGTGTACCTAAACTAAGTCTTGAGAGAGACAAATAGGAATTGGCCTGGTAAGAAAAATAATAGGACAGTTTCCAATTAAATGCTTAACTCCGTTGATCCCTAGACAGTCTCAGAACTTGGAAGCATTGGGAACTTCTGAAGGTGGAAAATAGGGGTGAGAACAGGAAGCTTGTATGAAAGTTTAAGGAAGAGTAGTTCCCTGGACCTCTTCCCAGCCTGCGAAGTCCAACAGTGCTGCTTCTCCTCCTCTGTCAGAAGGCAGGGAGTTTACTTTCTGGAGCAGTTTCTACTGCTGAAGATGTGGGTGAGCCACTGTTTTGGAAGCAGAAGTAAGGGAAAGTTTGAATGCTGAGTGGAAGAAATCCCCCTCCCTTCCTTGCCTCACTGGGCTCCCAAGAGAAAAGCTGTAGAAGATGATGACAGCCTGAGCATCCTTCACTTTCCCAGACCTCACTGCTTCTAGTCTGAAATAGAAATATAGCCAAGGATCTCCAGATGTACAAAACTGAAACAAAGGGAGTAGAAGAAACCATGTGAAATTTATTGAGAGGTGGGTAGATGTTTAACAGATAAATCTCCTAGAACGAAAAGAAATGGTTGGAAGGTAGAAAAAAGAAGAGACGACGTACTGGAGGGGCCGACATCTGAGTGAGGACATTTCAGAGTGGGAAATCAGAGAACAAAGGGAGAGAAATAATATAAGAAAGACTTAATTGCCACTAAATACACAGCATAGTGGCTGGAAAAGGTAAGAAATATCTCAGAGAGGAAAAACACAGACTATATTCAAAAGATCAGGAATCAGAATGGCAGGAACAATGAATGGTAGATAACAATGGATTGATGCTTTTAAAGTTTTGAGAAAGTAATTCCCAATCTGGAAGTCTATATTTTTCAAGCCAGCAGTGAACTTGAGAGGTGAATAAAGATATTTTCACCATGCAAAATTTCACATTTCTTTATGTCATATGTACCCTTTCTCAAGATTTTATTGGAGATTATGTCCTCTCCATATGAGAGAGTAAGCCTAAGAAAGGGGAAAATCCTTCTTGAGAAATGAGGTCTTAACACATAAGGCCCAAATAGCAAATCAGTACAGATATCCCTCTAAGTGAGGCAAAAAGTAATCAATTGGTGATAAATTCACAGAAAACTAAGCAGATGAAGAAAATGAGGCAATTTTTAATGCAGGGGAAATTGTTTTCCATGAAAGGATAGGGCATGCTGGTTTACTTTGTGGTTCACCTTTGATCACTGAACGTTTATAAAAATTCTGATGGGCAAACGGGAATGGCAATGTCATTCACTGAGCTCTGGAATTCAGAGAGCAGCCCTGGGGTGGGTGGTGGCATTCTGTTTGGACATGTTACATTGAAATGCCAGAAGGCATCAAATGAAGAGATATTTGGCAGTATAAGGATGTGCTACTTTTTTTTTTTTTTCTTTTGCGGTACGCGGGCCTCTCACTGCTGTGGCCTCTCCCGTTGTGGAGCGCAGGCTCCGGACGCGCAGGCTCAGCGGCCATGGCTCATGGGCCCAGCGGCTCCCCAGCATGTGGGATCTTCCTGGACCGGGGCACAAACCCGTGTCCCCTGCATCCGCAGGCGGACTCTCAACCACTGCGCCACCAGGGAAGCCCAGGATGTGCTACTTTTAAAAAGAGCTCTCAATAGTTGTTTCCTTATCTGTAAAAGGAGAAAATAATCTCTACTTCATTAAATCATTGGGCAGTACTGTGTAATATATCATTTTTTTTTAAATGAACATGGCCATTTCTTAGAATTTCAAGATAGATTACTTCAAGGTCGTCTATTTTTTCCATATCTACATTTTATAATCTTATATTTCATATATGAAATTTTTTCCAGCCTGAAACGGAGACTCTCTACTCGTTCCTCAATTTTGAATGCAAAGAATCGGAGATTGAGTAATCCAGCATTTGAAAATTCTTATAAAGATGATGATGATGATGAAGATGTCATCATCTTAGAAGAAAACAGTACTCCCAAGCCTGCAGTAGACGATGATATTGAAGTGAAATTGCAACCGAGTCACATGGAGCAGAGCGGTGTTCAGGTGGAGCCTGTGGGTGATAATGAACCGTGTGGCCAGACTAGTTCAACAGGCACCTCATCATCCAGGTGCAATCAGGGAACCACTGCAGCCACCCAGACTGAAGTACCAAGTTTAGTCGTTAAAAAGGAAGAAACTATTGAAGATGAGATAGATGTAAGAAATGACACAGCCATACTGCCATCCTGTGTGGAAACTGAAGGAAAGATACGTGAAACCCAGGAAATCTTTGATAAATCTGCTGGTGATGCTGGTTGCCAATTAAATGAACTAAGAAATGAGCTGCTTCTTGTCACCCAAGAAAAAGAAAATTATAAAAGACAGTGCCACGTATTTACTGACCAAATCAAAGTGTTACAGCAGAGGATACTGGAAATGAATGACAAATACGTGAAGAAGGAAACTTGCCATCAGTCTACTGAAACTGATGCTGTATGTTTACTTGAAAGTATTAATGGTAAATCTGAAAGTCCAGACCATATGGTGTCTCAGTATCGGCAAGCTTTGGAAGAAATAGAAAGGCTGAAAAAACAGTGTAGTGCTTTGCAACATGTAAAGGCTGAATGCAGTCAGTGTTCCAATAGCGAGAGTAAAAGTGAAGTGGACGAGATGGTTGTGCAGCTTGACGATGTATTTAGACAGCTGGACAAATGCAGTATCGAGAGGGACCAGTATAAAAGTGAGGTGAGTTGCATCATTCAACACAGTGAGAGTCGTGGGAGTCCGGGGGCATCTAAAGCTTAACTGCCAGTTGCTAGGTGGGCATAAATCATTTAATCATATTTCCATTTACCGACTCCACTGGTTCTCAACTGGGAGTGGTCCTTCTGGGGGCATATGGAAATGTGTAGGGCAGTTTCGGTTCTTAAATGTCTTGAAGGGATGGGCATTGTTGGAATCGAATGGGTGGGAACCGGGTCTGGTAAATGTCCTGTAGTGCGCAAGGACACTGCTGTGCAGTGAGGAATCGTCCTGTTCATTCCCACTGGGACGCTCAGTTACTAACATGCCAGGAGTTCTAGTCCGTTATTAATAAGCCTGCAAATAACCACACAGGGTAGATGACAATACCTTATTTTATAGAGGTACCCTGTATTACTTATGATTAGGTTCCTTTGAAGGTGACATAAAACCCCACATAACAGTAGCAGCTGCACAGTCATCAGAGACACAGGCTCCTTCTACATCGTTGCTTTGCTTCTCAAAGCAAAGCACTCGGACCACTGCGCTTGTGGTCGGAGATGGCTCTTCAGATCCAGCCAACGTATATCTACATTCCAGGCAACAGGAAAGAGAAGGAGTGCAGTTTCTGAAAGCTGCTTATATGCCATCTGTCAGAACTTAGTCACCTGGCCAGTGGATGCCTTGGAAATGTAGTCTTTATTTGGGGGTTCTTTGACTGAGGAAGGAGGAGCCCCTAGTTCAAATTTGGGTAGCTCCTTTGAAAAATATTTTACGTATTATATTTACATGGTGTTTGAAAGGAGAGTTTCTCTGCTAAAAGGAATTTGGAAACGACAGTATGGTACCGAATTGCCCCTTCTTCTGGAAATACTGCCGGCATAAATGCTTATTCAGACATTCCGCTTGATGTGTTGGCTCAGGAGCTAGATGACAAAATACATAAAAAATATAAGCTTTCTGTTGTAACTTACTGCTGGTGAGTGTGCAAGAAGTGAAAGTCACTATGACCTCAACATAATTTGGGCATTTTTATCTTGGTTTTTCAGTTTTTAGGTCTCATTTGTTTTTTTGTTTTTGGGGTTTTTTTTGGTGGTACGCGGGCTTCTCACTGTCGTGGCCTCTCCCGTTGCGGAGCACAGGCTCCGGACGCGCAGGCTCAGCGGCCATGGCTCATGGGCCCAGCCACTCCGCGGCATGTGGGATCTTCCCGGACCAGGGCACGAACCCGCATCCCCTGCATCGGCAGGCGGACTCTCAACCACTGTGCCACCAGGGAAGCCCCCATTTGTTTTTAGTCATGCTTTAATTAACATTTTGTATTCTTCTAATGTAAAAAGATATAGAGCTGAAACTAAGCAAATGAAGCTTTATTTATAGAAAGCTATTGTGTTTTGTGTGTGTTTTTTTGGTTTTCTTTTTGGAGCGGGGAGGTGCCCTAATTTTTTTATGGTAATAATTTTCATCAAGCAGGATTTTGTACATTTCTTAGCTTAAATTTGCACTTTGACATTAGTATTTTTAAATTGTACAGTTATAAAATTAATTAATTTTTTGTCAGGTTGAATTATTGGAAATGGAAAAATCACAAATCCGTTTGCAGTGTGAAGAACTGAAAACTGAAATCGAACAATTAAAATCTACAAGTCGGCAAATTGGAGATGTGTCAACGTCAAGTAACATCGAGGAGTCTGTAAATTATACTGATGGGGAAAGGTAATATGAAATGAGGTATTTGGCTAGGGCTGCAGTTCTGGTTAGCATGATACTTATTTGCTAGTGCACATCAAACATTGTTCTTGCAAAAGAAGTTATTGGCTGCTGTGATCCCAACGTTCTGATGGACAGAGATACAAAAGAAGTACATGTCATCATTCTTCCCTTCAAGGAACTAACAATTTTGTGAACTTAAATGAAATAGGAATTTCAAAGGAATTAAGCTCTGATTGGTCAGAGTGGTTTGGAATGTTTTTTGGGAAAAAGTGAAAATTGAGCCAGATATTGAAGGATGGGCTGAATTAGGCAATGACTAGAAGACAAGGGTCTATTTCATGAAACTTACTTTTTGACCTTGATTTCTTTAATTTCTGTACTTGGCACCATTTCTTTATGGTTTGCTACCTCATTTTACTACATGCCTTCCCCAATTTTAACTTTTAGGAAATCACAAAATTACTAAAAATTGCCATTACAGGTGATTCCTAATTACAGGTGATTAATTAGGAAGAAGTTCTGTGAAAATAAGAAAACAGTAAATGAATGATTACCCTCTCTCAGGAAGATATTAAATGGGCTTGGGGTTCTGACAGTATTGGTGGTCTGTTGATAACCATTCAAGAGAGAAAAAAACCCACAAAAATAGTCATTAAAAATAGTGCAACTCTTCTTGCTAGTATGATAAAACTTGATACCTAAAATGTACTATTGTTGAGAAATAATTTACCATCCTTACTTGACATTAATTATATTATGACTTAATTTTTTAGCTTAAGGTTTTAAAGGATTTCATTAAATCTATTCATGGAAATAGAATGAATAGATCAGTACATATAAGCATGGGGGGGCAAGGGGTCAGAAAAAAAAACCCCAACTGGTGTTTCTGAAAATGGGAACCACAAACCTCTGTGGTGCTTGTAAAAATGCAGATCCTTGGACCACAGTGCAGTTGATTAAATTGGAAACTTTTAAACAATCTCCCAGATGACTCACTTGCACACTAAACTTTGAGTAACTGATGATCTTTTAGACCTGTGCTTTCCAAGACAGTATAGACACATTTGGCCACTGACACTTGAAATCTAGCTAGTCTGAATTGAGATGTGCTTTAAGTATAAAATACATGCTGGATTTTGATGCCCTGGTATGAAAAAATAAATAAATAAAATGCCTCAATATTTTGGTTATATGATGAAATAATATTTTATATGTAACTAAAATTTATTTCATCTTACTTTTTAATGTGGCTATTTGAATATTTAAAATTGCATATGGAGCTCACAATGTTTCTCTCAGTCCTGTTCTGTGTACTAAAATAGGGATTTGTGATGTGTCCTGTAGAGAGGAGGAATTAGCCAGGACAGTCAAAAGACTTAAAGGATAGGATAGGTCAAAGATGGTTGTAGGGTCATACTGGCCTTTTTCTATTTTTTGTATAGAAATGGGCCTCTGATTGAAGATGAGTGGGAAACCTTGGACAAAAAACAGCTGGTATGGGCATGATGTAAAATTTTATCAAAGGTCCAATGGAATCTTAACATAAGCTCACAAAAAACATATTTAAAATCACATTTTTATGCGTTGTCAACCCAAGGATGAGCAGCTCGCTCCTTCAGAGATTTCCACCCTAGAAAGATCAGTATCTAAACTAAATGTAGACTTCTTATATTTTGGGAGGGGGCAGAACAAAAACAACTGTAATATTCTCTTGACCTAGGCGTCTCAATCTTTGCCGCAAAGGCTGCTTGCTGTGTAGTTGTAGAAGTTTGAAGTCTAGAATCTGGATATTCAGATAGATACAGTATAGAAAACGGAAGGAATGATAATGATCATTTAATCCAGGGTTTCTCAGTGTTTATAATAAATGCATAGTAAAACGGATAGTTAGTGAACTTTAGCATGTGATAGGTTCAGAGAAATCCTGCATTTTATTTTTTTAAAGGCTTTTTTTTTTTTAATATTTATTTATTTGGTTGCACCGGGTCTTTGTTGCAGCAGGTGGGCTCCTTAGTTGCTGCTGCAGGGCTCCTCAGTTGCAGCTCACCGGCTCCTTGGTAGTGGCATGTGAACTCCCAGTTGCGGCATGCATGTGGGATCTAGTTCCCTGACCAGGGTTTGAACCCAGGTGCCCTGCATTGGGAGTGCAGAGTCCTGTCCACTGCGCCACCAGGGAAGTCCCAGAAATCCTGCATTTTAAAAAGTCTTTTTACCATTATTTAACCCAAAGTTGTATAAGCTTATTTGACCACAGGACCATTTCTTTTTCCTTTTATACTACTATGGATATCTCATAGAACATGTTTTAGGGAACAATTCAATTCACTTTGCTCAAAAGGAAGCTGAACTTCAAAGTGACACATTCTTATTCTTAGACCAGTGTTCTCACTAGTGTATCATTATTGATTTCCAGGTGATAACAAGATTTTCAATTGTAAATAACATCTTGTAATTTATGTATTTTACCAGTTCATCTTTTCTCCAGTCTCGAATTAAAATTTGTAATAGTTGGAACCAAACAGAGCTGCTAGTGTTTTGAAATACTCTACATACCAACAGATAAATATTATACTTAGTTATTAAATTATGAATTATTAAGTTAAATGAATTGTTAAATCTAGTTCTCTTGAGGAAGTTTTGCTTTTCATTTAGTTTGTATATCATTCTACAGAGATCCCATTTTAATGTTTCCCTTAAATTATAAGGCCTACCTGAATATTAAACTGTATTGTTATAATGTTCGTCTAATAGGTGTAATGTTTGTATTTGCAGCCTCAAACTTCGATCTCTTCGAGTTAACGTAGGACAGCTCCTGGCCATGATTGTACCTGATCTCGATCTTCAGCAAGTGAATTATGATGTCGATGTAGTTGATGAGATCTTAGGACAAGTTGTCGAGCAAATGAGTGAAATCAGTAGTACTTAAAGTGTATTTTATGTGAGATACTAAAAAATATTTGCTCCGTCTTTCTGGTTGTATAGCTTTCAAAATTTAAGCAACTTTGTTATAGATATGATACGTAACAGACTGAAGAACCATAATCTTTTCTGTATTCTATGCATTCAAGTGTGGACACAAATATTGTGGACACACTATCACACCTTTTGAAATGCCTGTGAATCATTGGTATTGAGCAGCTACATAGCTAACTCATGATTCTGCTTTGAAATGTAAATATTTATAATTAAGTCACACATATTTTTTTATTACCCTAGAGGACTCAAGTGTTTTTCACCAAGAGGTTTTCAGGATTCCCCTAACCTTTGTGCAGTCTTTTCTGGTTCCCCAAAGTGTATTTTTCTCTGACTTGAGGGCTGTGCCATAATACAAATGGAAATGTTACCTTTGATTTTCTTACAGAGAAGTTTAAAACAGGGTTTTTAAAAATGGAATAACCCTCCCGATAAGTTGTAAGTAATTGAGCATTAATGTTTCTTTTCTATAAATTCTTATCTCCTGAAATATTTTATTCATGAAAATAAAGTAAGCAGAAACTCCATCCATTTTGCCAGGATTTTTTTGTGTGTGCTGAGATTGCCGATCATGGTTATTAAACACAAAGTGTTTTTACAGAAAAAAATAATGATTTTTAGTATAAAAATATAAAAATATTAAATGCCCCACCACATTTACTTGGAAGCCCATTTTTGGCTGCTTAGTCCGCATGGAGTGGGCACAGTGATTGTTTACTATTTCTTTTTGTGAAATTTCCTGTACAGCCTTTTGTAGGAGTACTACAGGTTAATATGAGTTGAGGAAGACAATCTTTCTCCAACAGTACTGCATACCTTTTATTATATTACAAACCTAAGTGTTTTATATCCTGGACTTAAGCAACAAACAACCTAGGATTATAGTATTACATGCCATAAAAATTATGCTTTACTGGTCCCGTGTTTTGTGCAATTATAAAGAGATGGCTTTCTATTAAGTATAACTGTATATATAATTAAGAATCATATTTTCCACAACTAAAATGTGCATTATTTTTTTCAAAGTTTTATCATTGCTATTTATTTTTACTTTTGTTTCTGAACATTGAATACATGTTCCTTTTGTATGCTTAATTACATGTTTGTCATGTACAATATTAAATTTTTACTGTACATTAACTTCTAGAAAAAGCAAATAAATTTTTATTTGCTTGATAAAGTAATTGAAAGTGTATTTTTGGTATGAAGCTGGTTTTCTGTCACAGTTGTATCTGCTCAAATTTTAAAATATCTTGTAATAAAATAAAAATATATATGATGGCTCACACTTCAGATACTACTTGTAAGGAGTTCTGTATTCAGGTTATATTTTGAAAAGTAAGATTGTGTCTGTTAAGACCCTCAAGTTGAGCTCATTTTACTGTATTTATTAGAAGTTACATTTAGAAGATATAATTTCTAAAAATTTAGAAGTTATATTTACTTCCATTAAGGCTCTAAGACTGGGCTCACCTTGAGAGCGTGTGCGTGCATTTTCCACTCAAAAAGAGACTGTGTAAGTCATCTAAAGAAACCTTGCCTAAATGGTAGCAGCTGTGTATAGCATGTCTAAGTCTGTGAGTATTTATGTAGCACTTATTTCTGGAATTTGCTATTTTTCCCTTCCTTTTGGTCAGCTATATTCTTGCAAAAATACATATTTTATATGGCTGTTAACTGGCTTAATGGCAAAGTTAATCATAGATTTAGAGAAACTTGCTTGCTAAATCGATTCTTTGGAATTACTTAGCTAATATTCACTCTTTAAGAAAACATTGCCAAGATATGACTTTGTGGCTAGCAAATTTAACAGAAGAATGTACATGGGCTTTATGTCATCTGTTGAGGTAGCGATACCTGTCTTTTTTTGTTAAGTTAAATTTGTTCAAAGGCTAGTGTGGGGGAGGATAGTGTGGCTTAAACTAATTATTTAAAACTTAAAAGCAGTGTGAGGACGTAAACCAGAATAGTCCACAGTCCCTACAAACAGGACCTCAGCTAAGACCACAAAATCAGTGAAAGCTAATTTTCACACAGCAGGAGAGGCGTGGCATATGGATGTGGCCTTTATTTGGGCCTCAAATTCCTAATGTGGGCAGGAGGTGCTGGTGACTCTGCCCATGGTCTCAGACACTTGATTCCTGCTGTCATACAGCCCATTAGGTCGTTATTTGTCATGGAGGAATAATTAAAGTGACATGTACCGATGGTTCTTACCACTCACTGACTGCATTTTAGAATCACTTGGGCGGTTCTTAGGAATCCCAGTGTGAGGATGCACCCTGTACTAATTAAGAGTTTTGGGGGTTGGACCAAACTGTCAGGCTTCTTTTCTTTAAGGCCTCCCAGTGCACCGTCAGAGCTGAGAGCTGTTGATCTATACCCTCCAGTGATGAATGTTTTTAAGTGTTGAACTCAAGTGGTTCCTGAAACAAACTCAGGATCTGCATGACCACTTTCTCACTGGGGTAAGCAAGGACAGGGAGAGGGAAGCAGAGTTGATGGCCAAGTTAGAAATGTAAATACAACAGAATGATATAAAATGAAAAGTGTTTTCTTATGTCCTTCCAGAAAGTATTAGCTGCCTACATACACACATTCATATATATATATGCATTCAGTTTATATTAAGTTTTATATCTTTGTATTTGATTATATATTTGTATCAAATCTACACAGGTATCACACCATATAATTGGTAACATTTCCATATTACTCTTTTGAACAGCTTTAGTAGCATTTTATGACATGAATATGCTCCCAGCCCTCATTTATTTCTCGTCTTTTGATATTACTACAAAAGCTGCTGCTGTGAAAATACACAGCACACATACTTTTTAAAGTATATCCAGAATGTAAATACCTTGTAGTGAATACTGGTAGGTCAAAGTGTATGCCGTGTTAATCTTAATAAATGTCGCCATCCAAAAATGGTTGCGAGTATTTATACTCCTATGAAAAATAGATGTATGAGTGTGTTTTTTCCTCTCTCCATCAAACTTGCTGATATGTGGGAAAGTGGCAGCTTGCATTTCTTTGTCTCAGGTTGAACATGTTTTCATATGTTTTATTGGCCATGTTAATTCCTTTTTCTGAGTACCCTGTCATATTCTCTGCCTATTCGTTTCTGTTGGGTTCTTTGGTTTATTGCTTTAAAGAAGCTAAATGCCTATTAATGTGGCCACAAACACTACCCGGACAACTCTTAGCTTTCAGAAGTTGGTTCAGTCTTACTTTGCACAGTGTCACATAGACTCATTGGAATGGAGTGAGAGACCCACTGGATTCATGTCTTTTTATATGAGGCTGCCCCTTGAACAACTTGGGGCTTGTGGGCTCTGACCCCCATTTAGTCAAAAATCCACGTATAACTTTTGACTCCCCCAAAGTTGCTAATAACTGTTGACCGGAAGCCTTACAACAATGAACAGTCAATTAACATGTTTTGTCTGTGTTACAGGTATCATTTACTGTATTCCTAGAATGAAATAAGCTAGAGAAAAATTGTTAGAGAATCATAAGGAAAATACAGTACTGTACTGCCAAATTCGTCATCTGTTTACGAGATGGACCATCTCAGTATGTACATCTGTATTATCTTAAATGATAGACAACACTAGATGTTACGTGTACCCGTTGAAAATGAAAAGGTGATATGAAAAATTCGTTTATTTACAGGTATAATGATTCATGCACTGGTAAGAATCAGCAAGGAATATGATTGCTTTTTGGTAGCCTGGTGTAATCAATACAATTGCTTCACGGTTGCCTAGCCTATATACTAATCGTTATAAAATTTTTAAAAATTTATTTATTTTTGGCTGCATTGGGTCTTTTTTGCTGCGTGTGGGCTTTCCCTGGTTGTGGCGAGGAGGAGTTAATCTTGATTGTGCTGTGCAGACTTCTCATTGCGGTGGCTTCTCTTGTTGCGGAGCACAGGCTCTAGGCACATGGGTTTCAGTAGCTGTGGCACACAGGCTCAGTAGTTGTGACTCACAGACTCTAGAGTGCAGGCTCAGTAGTTGTGGTGCACGGGCTTAGTTGCTCTGCGGCATGTGGGTTCTTCCCGGACCAGGACTCAAACGCATGCTTCCTGCATTGGCAGGCGGATTATTAACCACTGCGCCACCAGGGAAGCCCGTTATAAATTTTTTTTTTTGGCTGTGTTGGTTCTTCGTTGCTGCACGCAGGCTTTCTCTAGTTGCGGCGAGCAGGGGCTGCTCTTTGTTGCGGTGTGCAGGCTTCTCTGAAGTGGCTTCTCTTGTTGCGGAGCACCAGCTCTAGGCGTGCGGTCTTCAGAAGTTGTGGCTCGCGGGCTCTAGTGCACAGGCTCAGTAGTTGTGGCATGTGGGCTTAGTTGCTCCATGACATGTGGGATCTTCCCAGACCAGGGCTCAAACTCGTGTCCCCTGCGTTGGCAGGCGGATTCTTAAACACTGTGCCACCAGGGAAGCTCGTTATAAAATTTTTATGGCATACAGTATTACAGTTATATTCTTTTTTCAATAGTTTTTTTTTCATAGATTATTATTTAATTTATTTTTGGCTGCGTTGGGTCTTAGTTGCAGCATGTGGGATCTTCATTGAGGCCTGTGGGATCTTTCGTTGCAGCATGCGGGCTTCTCTCTAGCTGTGGTGTGTGGGTTTTCTCTTCTGTAGTTGTGGCACATGGGCTCTGTAGTTTGCAGCATGCAGGCTGTAGTTGAGGCGCGTGAGCTCAGTAGTTGTGGCATGCAGGCTTAGTTGCCCCGTGGCATGTGGGATCTTAGTTCCCTGACCAGGGATCGAACCCATGTCCCCTGCATTGCAAGGCGGATTCTTTACCACTGGACCACCAGGGAAGTCCCTACAGTTATATTCTTAATACAGTATTGGAAACGTTACATATTTTAAAAAACCTCTTACCTGTGATGATATGCAGTTTCTCCAGTTACGAGAGAAGCATACTGTGTGGTAATGTGATTCTTTGAAAGCAAAGTTATAGAACAGGAAACTTACATTAATTTTATATTAAATATCACCCCCCTTATACCTATGTAAGGATAGACTAGTATCTACATATATTCTGTGCATTCATGATATACCTAAATTTTTCTTATGTTTATTACATGAAATCGTGCATTTTATTATATATTTATTTTGAAGTATAAATGATTTACAATGTCATGTTTCAGGTGTACAGCACAGTGATTCAGTTTTTTATATATATATATTTTTTCAGATTCTTTTCACTTATAGGTTATTACAAAATATAACTATAGCTCCCTGTGCTATACAGTAGGTCCTTGTTGGTTATCCATTTTATATATAGCAGTGTGTATATATTGATGCCAATCACCTAATTTAACCCTCCCCCCAACTTTTTCTTAAATTTTTAGATATTTCTAGGTTATGCACTTCATCTGCATTTTTATTTTTATTTATTTATTTTTGGCTGCATTGGGTCTTCGTTGCTGCACGCGGTCTTTCTCTAGTCGTGGTGAGCAGGGGCTACTCTTGGTTGCCGTGCATGGGTTTCTCATTGCGGTGGCTTCTCCAGTTGCAGAGCATGGTCTCTAGGCATGCAGGCTTCAGTAGTTGTGGCTCACGGGCTCAGTAGTTGAGGCTCGCGGGCTCTAGAACACAGGCTCAGTAGTTGTGGCGCATGGGCTTAGTTGCTCCGCGGCATGTGGGATCTTCCCAGACCAGGGCTCAAACCCGTGTCCCCTGCATTGGCAGGCGGATTCCTAACCAGTGCGCCACCAGGGAAGTCCCTGTATTTGTCTTTGGGACATTGGTCACGGCTCACAAAAAGAATGCCATTAATATCCATCCACTTGGCATAGAGGAAAATATATATGCATTGCTTTTTTAGCATTAATTTTGTGGTCATGAAGTTAATTTACATATACTGGCCTCTAGGGAGAAAGTCAAGACCCTTGAAGACAAGTCTGGGTAAATTCAAGCCATTCAAATGCAGGTGAAGTTTTTAGGTGAGTGTGGTCATAGAGAATGAATTAACCATTACAAAACTGGAGTGTGAATCACAAGTAAATTTCCTACACAGGCATTCTAATCAGAATGGGCTGAGTAAATACAATTACCTATTTCAAACATGTAAAACAAGTTTAACCTCAAGGTTCAGTATTAATTTCTTGCAAAGCAGTCAGGACTCATTATGGTAATGATATATAGAATAGACTCCAAAGAACTTTTTACCCCAGCTTGGCTAATATTTAGGTTATGAGTATCTTCAATTATGTAAATATTACCCAGAATTCAGCTGTATCTTCATAGCAAAGTGTAACGGTGCTTTATATTCACAAAGTACATGAGTCATCAGTCTTCCTCATTCATGTTAAATGCTGTTGAAAACTGGCCTGTGTTTTGAACTGTGTGGCCTATGTTTTGAAAGTTTGTACCGTGATCTGAAGCAGGGCTGACTGGAAGTAATTTGATGTGGGCTTTTCTTTTTTTTTTTTTCTGGATAGGCAGTTGTCCCGTGTCTTTGCGATTCCCTTGGTGGAGTATCTCAAACTGTGGTGTTCATGCTGTCTGCATGACGCTTTCTAGACGCTAGAAAGCGCTCTTCCCAACTTGCTGTGTGACTTTACAGTGTGAGTTGTCTAACCAGCTGACAGCCAGAGAAGTGACGCAGTCTGACATAACTAACTATACCTGTTACCTCTTTTCCTGGGCAGAGAATTACAGGGGTCTAGGACAATAATAAAAATCATTACATATGGGCTTCCCTGGTGGCGCAGTGGTTGAGAGTCTGCCTGCTAATGCAGGGGACATGGGTTCGAGCCCTGGTCTGGGAGGATCCCACATGCCGCGGAGCGGCTTGGCCCGTGAGCCACAACTACTGAGCCTGCGCGTCTGGAGCCTGTGCTCCGCAACAAGAGAGGCCGCGATAGTGAGAGGCCCGCGCACAGCGATGACGAGTGGCCCCCGCTTGCCACAACTGGAGAAAGCCCTTGCACAGAAACGAAGACCCAACACAGCAAAAATAAATAAATTAATTAATAAACTCCTATCCCCAACAACAACA